ATTCATTGGTAACTTGTAAAATCCGCAAATTTGACAAAATACTTTTACAAACTTTTGTAAAATAAAGAGATGCCCTTGATCTGAGCAAGTTTACAAGAATTTGGAAGCTAATTTTCCTCAGAAATATTTGTAAAATTTTATAAAAGTGTTAAAATTAATTACGGATTTTGCAAAGTTACAAAAGACTTCGTGAATTGCTTCATTGTGCATGTAAACTCTTGCTCGAAATCAAAATTTCATAAAAACATTTTTAAAAATTTGCATAGTTTTTTTTGCAAAATGAACACAATTTCTGAACAACCCGTTGAATAGTGTATAGTTCCCATTTTAATGGATCAATCAACAATTAATAATTGCAAACAAAAAGCAATATCTCACTCGAATTCCATTCCATTATTTATACATTGACACGAAGCAAAGTACACGAGGAGCAGAGAATTTATTTATTTAAGGCATGACAAGGTCGACATTGAATTCGCAACAATCTCTGATCCGGAATGGAATTCGTCTCGAGATTACAAATCGTAAAAATCAAGCGTAAAAAAAATCGGCACATGCAATCGAATCAAAAAGTAAACAATGGAACGATTCTTTTTTATCGATGAGTTATTTAATTATTTATATCGTTCGTACGAATTGTTTGGTTTTAATTTTAGGTAGTGAAATTATTAATGATGATAAAATACGAAGTTTAAACTTGATACTTTTGCCATTGCAAATGGCATTTTTTGCATTTGATTTTATAGTTTGCGAAATTATGTGAGATATTAGAAGAATGACCACGTGGTTTTAGTAAAAGGCGAAAACATGGGTATTTTCTGTAAATGGGTAATTTCGGCAAATTACATACGTAAATTAGGAGCGGAAGAGTTTTTCCATCTGAGTTTTTTTGCGTTTCATCAAAATACATTTCAAAAATTCAAACGGCGTACAAACTAAATAAAAATGATATTTCTTTATTTTCCATTTACTAAATTTATCTATGTCATTTAAAATCTCACCAGAAACTTTAGTTTCAATTAATTAAAATAATGCAATCATTAAAATCAAACTTTACAATTTATTACTTCCATCTCTTTATAATCTGGCTCTTGCACATACATATTTATTATTTTTAAATATTTGAAGAAGACACAAAAATCTTGCTAATTTGCTGAATTTCTACAAACACTCACTTAATCAATTTTCCTATGATTTTCATAATTCTTGCAGATTTTTTCCCCAAATAATAATACTAGTAGGCATGTCAAATTCAACATTCGGAAATTCAATCTTTAATTTTTCTGGAAATTGCAAAAAATAAATTAGATTTTGAAAAATGCATATTCCCAATTAGTTTTTATGTACATAATTTTACAAACTTTGCACAAAACTAAATTTGTAAGAGTGGTGGATAAAATATAGCTAAAAAATCTGGTATGCCAAATATCGCTAAGCATATATAACATCTATTTTTTTAACAATTCACGCTAATCAAATATTTAAAAAGTTTACACGGACGTCTAAATATTGCAAATTTAATTTGCAAAAATGTGTAAAATAGTTTTACGAAAAACAACTACACTTTTTAGAACCTCAGCTTAATTTTGCAAATATGCATGCACATCAAAAAGCCTGTATTGCAAACCTTGTAACCCCTCCTCCTTCGTACGTAAGTAAGTTATTTAGTAAGTACTAAAATTGTGATCGGGACATGTGCACCCGTCACCCGAAATTGAGCGATGGCATTGCCTCCATAAATAAATTATTATGAAAATGACTCGTCACACACAATGCAATTGTTGTCTTGTCCACATGGCGAGTGTCATGTCACTCGTACGTATGCAAATGTGTTAATACTCATCCATCCGACAGCCAAGTCCTTGCCGGAGCGTCGACCTAAACTGTTTTAAATTAAATGTTTACAAAACAATGTCTCCGATTTCGGAGCGAAATTGAAATGTGCCAATTAAAGGCCATTGTCTGTGGAGAGCGTGCATATGTAGTTTTGTAGGCTATTGTGTAAGTAAACTGTGCAAACTTTGCGAAATTGGTACCACAAATCATGATGAGCTTTTAACAGAATTTTGCATTCATACGTTTGTAAATCATGTATGTACTTAACCCTTTTCATGGACAATTGTGCTTGCAAATTAATTTTGTATTTGCAAAAAAATCTCTCGAGCAAAAAAATCAAGCTTTACTGCAAAATTTTGCAGGTCGAAATCTTGTACAAATTTGCAACCCGATTTGGTCCGAAATTGTTGAAACTTTAATGTAGAAATTAATTACAGAGATTACAAACTTTAGGCCATTAACGTATGCTATTGTGTAAACTGTGTAAACTTTACGAAATTTGCACCATAAATCATAATGAGCTTTTAACAAAATATCCCGAATAAATCATGTATTCTATATTTACCCCCTTTTCATGACCAATTGTGATTGCAATTTAATGTTTTGCACTTGGAAAAAATGGCCAGCAAAAGTTCAAGCTTTTTACTGCAATATTATGTAGGTTAGAATCTCATACACAAATTTGCAACCCGATTTGGTCCGAAATTATTATAAACTTTAATGTCGTAGAAATTGATTAGGTACAAAGATTACAATGCTTCGTCATTAAAGTAAATAAATTACTGTGTAAATTACGAAATTTCCAGCGAATGTCACAATAAAGCTCTTGTTGATCATCATGTTTATGAATTAAGCGAGCACGTAAAATATTCCCAGCCTGTTGAGAGATCAGAGTGATCAGACCACGACGCGACCCATGCGTAAAAAATTCCAGAGTCCAGTCCAGTTCACTTTTCGAGCAGTACAACGCAGTTAAATGACATTATTATGTGACCGGCGATGTTGTGATACTGATCTTTGTTATCCATGAAGAAATTTACATATCTTGTTATTTTTAGGAAGGTTTCTTCTCTCATTAATCTTTCATTACATGGCCAAAGTGGCATTATTATTATACGATCTCACGCTTAAATATTAGAGTGCAAAATAGGTGCGGTTTCGGTATAGCATGATCCATTCCATCCATTACTGACTACCAGTTTAGTTTAGTGCAAATTACCTCATTCTCATATTTATGTCCATAGATCGGCAAGGACGAGAGACCCACCCGTGGGAATTTTTTGTGGACACAACAATTTTTGACATGACATGAACAAAGACGGAAAAGAAAATTAAAGGACGCGAAAAAAATGAGTCAGAAACTTTGGCGTGGAGCCAAAATTATTTCGACATTCGGTCTAACTAATTTAAACTGCATTAAAAATTGTAAAGAATAATTCTTGATTTGATTCTCAGTAATTTTTTGGAGAAAAAATGAAACAATTCATACCAATTTGTTTGAGAATTTTGAACAAGTATGACGCTTTTTATGTTATTTTTATTTTATATATTACTTCGGAAATTCTCTACAGATTTCATGTCACCTCTTCGTTTGTTGGATTAATTTGGTATTAAATTTTAGCTTGTTATCCGTAAATTATGCCGAACTATGATGTTTCTTACTACCGAAATCCCGTCTTATCTACTTTACTTTACTTGTCATGCATTCACCAACCTCAACTTGTTCTAACTACAGAGGCCCACCACAAGAGAGTTTTCCCAGAACCGACAGCGAAACAGCAATTGCTATTCGTGGGGGGTCATGCATGCAATCTTGATCAAAAAGTAAAAGTATTTTTAGAAAATCACTCAAGGGGAGAGAAAGAACTGTCAATTGAAAAAAAGTTTTTAACATCAACTTTTTCGCTGCTAAAGTTCAAAAAAGGGGAAGTAAATGTGTTTTTTGTGGTAAAACAATAATTTTATGTGGCGAAAAGCATTGACCTGTATTCCCCCTAAGTATTTATACATTTTTGATGTGTAAGTCAAAATTTTGAAATATTTTGAAATTAGTGGTTGACCCTTCTCATAAGCCGGATTGAGTAAGTTATGCATGGTGCGGATGAGTTAGAAACCCTTACCTCCAGACCATAGAGTGAAAGAGGCCGCGAGTTTCTCATCATCTCGGCCTCAACTGCACCGTGCATAACTTACTCAATCCGGCTTATGAGAAGGGTCAACCACTAATTTCAAAATATTTCAAAATTTTGACTTACACATCAAAAATGTATAAATACTTAGGGGAAATACAGGTCAATGCTTTTCGCCACATAAAATTATTGTTTTACCACAAAAAACACATTTACTTCCCCTTTTTTGAACTTTAGCAGCGAAAAAGTTGATGTTAAAAACTTTTTTCAATTGGCAGTTCTTTCTCTCCCCTTGAGTGATTTTCTAAAAATACTTTTACTTTTTGATCAAGATTGCATGCATGACCCCCCACGAATAGCAATTGCTGTTTCGCTGTCGGTTCTGGGAAAACTCTCTTGTGGTGGGCCTCTGTACCTAAATAAAAATGTAAGTCCTTCTCTCTCTAACTAATTTTCCATCAATTCAATCAATTCAATCCTATTATCGATTGCATAACAATACACATACATCTCAATCAAAAGTGGTTTTCGTCCTCAGCCCGTGTTTACGTCAAGTTCAAGTCGACATGTTATTCAATGGATGTCATCCCAAGTTGAACTACTTTGCAAAATAAAACCAACACCAAATCTTGCCTTGCTTGACTCAATAATAAATAATGTCTCTTATTTAATTAATATGCTTAAATGTTTCTCAAGAGGAAAGAGATGAATAAAATTCCTGCTTCTTCTTTAAAGTTAACCTTGATTCGACCACTTGAAGGTCAGTCAGATCAATTTCCAACCAAAACCAAAACAAACACTTGAAACATTTTCATTTTTTCTGCTTAAAAACTCGTTTTGTTTATTTATTCTTCTTTTGAGGAAACTTGTAAATAAAATTCATCTGGTAAGTAAATATATAAATATAGAATATTTGTGTAATTAACATACTAAATTAATTAGTGAAGTGAATTAAATTAAATACATAACTTATTATTACTTAAAGGTCACGTCTCTCAAAAAAATATATAACTAATTAAGGAAGTTTAACTGTTGAATTAATTAATAATACAAAAATATTTGTCTTGTTCTTCTCAGATTCTTCTCCTCCCAAAAAAACTACTACGCCGCCCTCACCCATCTCTTCTCTTGGAGCGGTGAACCCGATAAGACAACCATCTTATCCGTCGCCGTCATCATCCTTTTCCTCTCCCGTGGCGGTGAAGACGATAAGGCAATCATCTTATCCGTATCGTAATAATAGTTATCGTCATCGCTAAAAAAATCGCTGACTTGTTCTTCTTCGCTCTCTTCCCTCTCAAAGTAATCCGCCCACTGTTCCACCAGGGCGAGACTGAAGGTGCCCCCACATCGGGTGAAACTATCGATAAGCGCGGCCTCATATCTGTCCTGGGTCTCGGGAGAGGTCAACTTTTCACTAAAACACCACTGTTTACTCCCCAGCACGATGTGCATGACGGAATTGACGAGGGAGGCGTGATAATCCTCGACAATTTCGTGGAGCGGATATTTCACGGAGGAATCCATGGCGCGGGCGGCGGCGGCGAAAGTGTCGCCGTACACCGTCCAGACTTCGTGGAGGCGGGAGGGCGACGTGAAAATGGCGGAGTCGCAGCACAGGAGGAGGAAAAAGGTCAAGTCGGTCATCGGTGAGGAGTACGAGCAGCCTTGGAAGTCGAGCAGGGCTACGGAATTTTGTGCGGAGAAGAGGACGTTGTGGGTGTGCATGTCGCAATGGGTTATCGTCCCGGCGCGCGAGCCGCGCGGGAAGGAGAGTTCTTCGAGACGGTGGATATCGGTGAAGGAGGAGAGGTCGGAGATGAGTTGGGGAGGGATGGATTTTGAGGGGGGGAGGGAGGTGAGGAATTGGGTGGTGGAGTCGATTCCGGAACGGAGGTAGGTGTCGAGGAGGGATTGGTCCTGGAAGAAGAAGAGAGAAGGTATTTTTTAGTAATTTGGTAATTTGGGGAGGGTTTTTGTAAAGTTGGTAAAAAATTTGGGGGAGAAATGGTAAACAGAATTTTGGAAATTTTGTGGAAAAATATGTCTTGAAATGGTACAAAGTTTCTAAATTGTGAAAATGGGGATGGTTTTTTGTAAACTGGGTAAAAATTATGGGGAAAGTGGTTCTGAATTTTGTAAAGTTTGCAAAACTTTGTCTCAAAATGGTGCAAATTTTCTGATCCTAATTCTAAGATGCGATACTTTTATTCGGTATCATTTCGCCTCACGGGAATTTTACAAGGTTTACAAAGTCTTAAAAATTTACCTTGAAATGCGTATAAAGCCAGTCATATTCCGGTCCAGAGTAATGTTTGAGACCGATTTCTTCCTTGTAGGCCATCCCCACGGCGTGAAATAGGGCCATTTCTTTAACCACTTGTTTCGCCTGGGTCCATCGGAGCCCTTTTCCCCGGTAGCCTTGACCCCATCCGGAATACCCGGACGCGACCATGTCCTCCAAGACGAGGACCATCTTGTACTCGGTGGGGGAGACCCCTTCTTCAGCCGCGTAGTAGCAGTGGGGGTGGCGGAAACGGAATTTCTCGGGTGTGTTGCGCTCATCTTGATATTTCGCCCAGGCTGGGAACATCTTGGTGTACATTTTGTACTCGCGTTGGCAGAAACCTGGAGACGACAAAGGGAAAAATTAGCAAATTGTTGGCGAATTTTGCAAAAAAATCAAAATTTTCGGGCTGATTTTCAAGATTTACAACTTGGGAACAAAATTGTCTTCATTTTACAGGAAGAGTTTGAAGAAATGTGCAAAATTTCACAATATTTAGCATTTTCTGTATCTGAATCTCTTAATTTTGAGAAAAATGAAAATGGATTGATTATTTTCAGGATTTGAAATTTGGGAACAAATGTGTCTTCAGTTGAAGGGAAGAAATGTGCAAAAATTTAGCAAGTTCTTCTCACTTTACGAGAGTTTACAAAACTATCTCAAATCGCCCCCAAATTTACAACATAAAAATCACTGCTTAATTACCTTCGCTGAGGACGAACTTCCTCAAATCTGGATTTCCACTGGGTGGAGTTTTAACAATGACGGAAATCTTTTTCGCCTCCCCTCCATCGTCTGGCAGAATCGTCAATGTGACACGTTCCAAGGAGGACATGACGCCAATTCCGTCGCCCACGGAACCGTTCGCCCACGCCATGTCGAGGATTTGGAAAGGAGCTTGTTTTAAGGCCTCTTGCATCCAGGCCAGATTAATTTCCGCCCGGGATTGCGGAACTTTCGGGAGTGACATGTCTCTTTTTTGTGTAACTTTGTAATGTAACGAGGTGAAGTGAGACTTTGGGTTTTTGGGAAAATTGAGACTTTTCTTGCAGTATGTGTGTACCGAGCAGGTGTCTGGAATCGAGTGTTGCTAAATGGACAAGTTTTCCATCCTTTTATTCGCAACCAGTCCAGTAATACGTACTCGTAGTAAGTTGGGAATAGTAGTAGTAGCAAGTTTTTTGCAATACATGCATATATATTCGCGAATTCGCACATCATACTTATGCATCTATGTATGTACACATCTTTATAATTGCACGGATTATATAACATGTCGTGTATTGGAGTGTGCTTACTTTTCGCGAATAAATTATTCCTTAAGCCGGGTTTGTTTATTTTATTTGCGAATTTTTTAATCGTACTGCCCACCAGTTAAGTAATGTGCAAGTACGTCACTAATTGTTTTGTTATTATTATTGTTATATCCCGAAGGAAGGGGAATTTATGTATTTACATCCCGTGTCTCAACTTGCCTCAATTTTTGCACATGCAAAATGATGATGCGATCTCACTTTACTTTACCTTCACGCGAAATAAAGCAATTCTGTCCAAGAACGAACATGGAAATGATTTGATGGTCGGCAAGGTGGGTGTTGGTAAAGGTTGTCTGGGGGGAGTGCAAGAAGGAAGTAGTTTTTTGCAAAAATTTTGCAAATTAAGGGGAGAGAAATTTATGGAAAAGTGTGCAAAATTTTGTAAATCTTATCTCTTCAGGATTGTCCTTGCTTGCCCCTTGTTCCAATTAGGGTGACAATGACCCAATTTTCGCCACAATGCAGAGATAACCCATTACACAGTGCAATTTAGTGGTGGTCATCACCATGAAATGTCATTTTTATCGAGATGCACGGTTAAATTTCATGGATTTATGGATTTTGCGATTTATGGAAGTTGCGAGTTGTTTCAGGGGGCAATTTGAGATCGGATTCTACGAAATCAAGGGTATTGATATTTTTCGCATGTTTTTTAGCACCAATCTAATAACAGGGGTCAAAGGTCACAGTTTAAGTTACATCTATTCTGCACGGTCTTGAAATTTCAGGATTTATGGATTGTACGATTTGTAGAAATTGCTAATTACTTCATGGAACAATTTGATATCGGATTCTGCGAAATCACAGATAGATTTTTTCGCAGATTTTTAGCACCAATTTATTAACACGGGTCAAAGGTCACCACCTTAATGACACCCCTTCTGCACGGTCCTTCCTTCCCTGAACGTACATAATATGTAACCGGGTGACGTTTTCTCATATCTTCGTCGTCTTAGACGTCGTCGTCACATTTGCCATTTTTTTCCGCCTTCAACTTTTGACAGATAGCTTTGTTTTCGTTTCGCGGATTTGTTGACTGGAGTTGAAATCGAAAGTGAATCTTCTCAGAACGTGACTTAGCATGCCATACAATTGACGCGAGGCTAAAATGACCATGATATTGGCCTTCTTACATATGCATCGCTTGTATAACATTGCCTCGCACGTAGGCCAAGAACTAAGCATCGCATGCATCGTCCCCTCTACGTAAACAAGGCGATAACTCCACGACTCTACCAATTCCGCAAAAATTTACATACATCCATAAACACTATTCATGCAAAAATTAGTGACGCACTTGAACTTGACACCCACCCAAACAAAGCCAACTACTAAATCCTGATTTTGCACATATTTCGAAAAGTGAAAGTGTGCTGAATACGCTTAACGCGTCATGAACATGCTGATTTAACATTGCATTTCGTCCTCGTCAGTGCAACCCGATCTTAAATCTGAGGAGTGCAACTTGATGACGAAAAAGACCAGTCTTACAAAACCACGATTTGGGCGTCCAACGTTCAACAATTCTCCAGTTCATTCCACTTTTACTAGTAGTATTTAGTAGTAGTACAACAATGCATACGTGTATTTAGTAAGTAAGTAGACTGGTCTAACAGGAGGATACGTCATCATCTTCAGCTTGTTATTGCTGATAAATCTCAGTCCACATCCACATTTTCAAGATCAAAACCAGAACCACGACCAACGAACGAAATATGTAACCACCACCACACCACAAAAAATTCATGTCACCTCAAAATCGTGGTTGTGGTTTGGTCGTGGTGTCACTTTATTCGGCATGGCATCCACCGCGTGGCCTGGTCGTTTTACTGGACTGGTCATTGCATCTTGTTCAGAAAAAAACTGATTAGTCAGCACTAAAGCGAAGCAATTGGGGCGCCGCAGTGTCGCCTAAAGAATCCTGTGATTTCATCACCCCACCAGATTTGTACTATGTGCTGGGGACAAAGTAGATATTTATTTAAGACGACGTGGAAATAGGCGGTTGATGGGGTCGTGAAACTGGAATGGATGAAGAAAAACGTCGACAAGGCCATCCAGGTGAGTACAAAAGTGCAACCAACTCGGAATATCTCTCTGTATGGATAACTTTTATGGGACAACTTTCTCAGAATTTGTTGAGAACATCGCCCCCTTCGAGACCGTTAGTCTTCTTATGTCCAGTCCAGTACATCCGATCCTTGCCCTCGCATTCTCAGCATTTCTTTTCTTCCACTGATTAATTAACCGAGATCCAGTCGAGAGAGAGAGAGAGTTAAGTGAGTGACCGGCAAATGGTGGTCGTGGTCAGCCAAACCGGGAGTTCATTCATTCATTGGCTTTATTTTATTCATTTGGAGAAATGAGATTCGTTTGGGTGATTGGATAGAGGAGGAACAAATTTGTATGTATGTATTTATATATTTGAGTGACCTTTGACCGAGCAGAGATTTTTACGCAATGGGCAAACAACATTACTTCATCGGGGAAGGATTGACCGATATCAAGGTCGGGTATTTAAGTAGGAGTGGAGTTGGATTTAATTAGAAATAAGGACAGATGGAGGTTTGAAATTTTGAGAAATTGTGAAAAATTTTGAAATTTTTTGTAACATTTTTGGTAAAAAGATGGAGGAATTACATTATTTGACATACTGTAACTTCCTCGTGATTGATAAAGTGTCAATCAATAACCAATAAATATTTATCAATATGTATCGATATCAATTGACTTGACTTTTGTGACATGGCACAAGTACACAGTTCATCGTGGAATTACCATCTTTAGCAGGGTTTCGGGGTGGTAAGTGGTATTGATGAGACGGGAAAAATGAGACAGATACCACTTTCAATAAGTACGTGGATGATTGTGTTAAGAATGCATATACGTTGAAAAAATCTCATAACTAAAAGACAGAGACGACGGTTGCGTCTCCTTGTGTACCGAAAGATTTTTTTCTATGGAGGGGGGCGGGGCGAAGAGAGCAGCTGATTTTCATGTAAACAAGGCAGGCAGTTGCATGTAAAAAGTTGCTTTGGATTTTGAGAGTGACCGTTCCCAAACTCCAAACGGGGCATCGCGAACCAGAAAGGGAGAACAATCCCGACTAAAACTTCTAATTTGCAGCTAATACAAAATGGATTGATTTCGTTTTGGTGGCAATAAATTCCTGAGTTTGTGCTTTACAATTTCCATTGGGCAAAAATTCCATAATAAATCTCAACGAAAAGTATTGGACTAAAAACATGATAACTTACATGTTTCAGTCCAATACTTTTCTTTGAGATTTATTATGGAATTTTTGCCCAATGGAAATTGTAAAGCACAAACTCAGGAATTTATTGCCACCAAAACGAAATCAATCCATTTTGTATTAGCTGCAAATTAGAAGTTTTAGTGACAACAATCATTTACATTACTGGTAAGTGGCGAGCAGGAAAAGTCAACTCGCTCACTAGGATGCACAGACTATACCCGAACTCAAACTTTAATGGGGAAAATGAGATAGGAAATTGTCTCGTTTACTCGTTTCATGGGAAAATATCGGTTTTGGCCTGGTCGTCAATTCTGAACATTTCTTAGCATTTCCAAAATTGAGCAAAATATATTCTGTAGAACTCGAATATTTTAGACTTTTTATAACTTGGACACATGTACAAAAAATTATAGAAAGAGAGCAGCTTCGATATCTATATTCTACATCTAATTCCTACAAACCATAATTTATCACATTCGGCGATACAATTCTTCCAATTTTTCCTACCTAGCAAAAAATTGTGATACATAATAAAATTGAAAAAATTTGGAAAAACGAAACCCTGCCATCTTCTAAGAAGCTTCTTCTTCTTGAACCCAACAAATAGTGCTGATCGTGGCAAAAGTAATAACATTCACGCAAATAAATGTACATATTTATGACTTCTTGGTACTTACTTACTTATTAAATTTTACGACCTTCACCTTCACACGAATGGAATTATGGTATATTTCGCTCTTCAAAATAACCACCAACCAACCAATTTCAAGATCACTTCACAACTTGTCACCCAACTTTGAGGTTGAGATGCACTATATATTTTGCATAATTATTAAACTACTTAATATGTAGATATGTACCCATAACTGGCGGATATTGAGGTCTTAATATGTGGTTTGATGGTGGTGGTTTATGATGATGTGATCACTTTACTTACATATTGAGGGGAACGGCTCACCCAATATTATTTTGCACACTTTAACCCACGACAATCTTATCAATCACGGTTTTATACATACCTAATTCGGTTTTGCGTATGAATTAAAATATTAAATGTGCACGTAATCCTGTGGAAAATAAATACGTATGTTTGCATATATTTTTATACGTATGTACCTATAAATCGAATCCACACCACGAGATGGATGATAACTGGTGGTGATGATAAATGGAAATTAATTCATAGTTATCACGCGAAAAGAGATGATAAGATTCAGGATAAGATGTTTGAGTTTACTTAAATACGTCGTAGTATTTTTAGTTTGTATTTAGAATTAGATAAGTCGTTATCAATTTGGCAGTAATTTATTACCAATTGATGAGGTATGACTGTCAAAATTTGAAGGTGTGTTCCACAACGCAGACACAACTCGATTGTATACACGTGTAATAGAATTTTGAAATATTTCCAGATATTTTTCAATGTTCCTGGAGTTTCGTAAATATGCATCAGTACATATATTTCTGCTGCACAGATTTTCAATATTTTGGCAACGTTTTCGTTAAAATTTGAGTTAAAGATAATGAATGAATGAATTAAAGATACTAATTTTGCACACAAATTGCCTGAAAATTTACATTTTCACGTTTCTTTTCGAATTATTTTGCAAATATTTTCTCCTATTTTTCATAAATCTTACATACGAAAATTAGTAATTAATTACCAGTAATTATTAATCATTACCATACTTTTTTTATTGCAAGGTCCATTCAATTCCATTTTTTCTCTATACTTAATCTGTATTTACAATTTTAGTGGATAAATTTCTTATTTCAAAATTTCAAATTTCATTCATTCATTTCCTCCCCTTCGCCCTTTAAAAAGCGGGAACTTTGAAAACATCCGACACATGGACGACCCCCCCTTTCACCATGGTTGAGACCTCTTGAGCAAAAATGGCGGACGTGATGGACAGCCCGATGACATACATTTCTCGGGAAGAAAACCCCCAAAGGTTGTACTTGGTCGGGATGGAGAGCGCGGTCACGTTGATGATCATGATCCCAGCACCGATCAAACCGTAGATTTGGGAGGCGACGACACAAATCCAAATGTGGGACAGGATCGCGATCCCGGAAACGATCTGGGTGGTGAGGACGATCGTTTTGGTGCGGCGTTTTGCCCAGGCGAGGAGCGGAAGCAGGGCGAGGACCAGGTTGAGCTGGGGGTGGAAAACAGGTCAAAGGTCAGTAAGAAAGAAATTAGAGAGGAAATATAGGTGAAGGTGGCATCGATTTTGACCCTATTTCTCGCGACGTGACCCCGAAAAATGGACTAAAATCGACCGAAGGCCATAATCAGGGTTTCAAGTGCATGTAAACACTTGCAAAAATAGACTGAATGCAAGAAATAACGGGAAGAAAGTGTTTTTTGCAAGTATTTTGGCCTGCAAGAAATGCAAGGCGCAAGAAACGACTTCCGGTTTTCAGACGGTGGGTCGCTACATGGCACAAATTTCATACAGTTTCTCGCACCTTACATTTTTTGTAGGTTTTTGCACCCAGCATTTCTTACTTTTCTAGCTTTTCAGTCCAAGAAATGTAACAAACCCGCAAGAAACTCGACACTGGAACATAATTTCGAGAAATTTTGACCCACACGACACCAAGAAACATAAAAATCTGCCCAAAATCGATCCCACCCTTACTCTTTAGTTGACCTTACCTGATCATACGGCGAAGGATAATGAGCGAGCCAAATCATCGTGAGAAAAGTCGGGTATCCGAGCACAATGGTCAGCCAGGCGAGCAAGTAATGGTACTGAATCCAGGGCTGCGACCCACGCGCGGCTTGCTCCACAGGACCGTACATCATCAAATCTGAGATGGGAAAAATGATTTTATGTCGCAAATTTTTGCAAAAAACCTTGCAAAAAAGTAATAGAAGAATGCAAATATATTGCCTTACACAGTCCCACCAACCCGCAAATGTTGGACGTCGCCCCGAGCAAAAACCACAGAGATCCATACGCCAAACCCAGGCTGCCAAAGAGATGGATTCCCGACGAGAGGGCGAACAATCCATAGCCGCAGGAAACAATGGCCACCAATTCGAGAACCGAGAGCACCCCGGCGTGCGCCATGATTAATTTATTTGGCGAAATCTTCCTGCCAAAAAAATAAGTAGACAAAATTCGGGAATATATTTTTTTGCTTGTTTATTTTTATTTTTGGAAATTTTGTCTCCAAGCGATTTGTTGGCATTTTATCAAATTTTATGTCACGGCTGTCTGCATTTGATTATCATTATTATCAAAGATTTAATTATTTTGTAGCGTGAAATGTTATCAATGTGCGAAATTTTGGTAAAATTTATCAATTAAATTCGAAACACTTTTTTGTTTTTTCCATCTTCATATTTGAATTACATATATAAACAAGGCCCCAAAAAATGGGAAATCTTAGTGAGTCAGCGCAATCACACTTAATAAATAAAATTCGATTGAATAACTTTTGCATCACCGCTCTCGGGATAATTTTTCCTGGAAGCATTAGTTAATCATTTAGAATAATTGCCCCCCCCCGCAAAGGGTCTGGAGATTTCATCAGAATAGGAATTAATTGGATATCCAAATTTATATATCGAAATTGTAGACTTTCGACTCTTTCTAAATTTAAAATTCGCAGTTCACAATTATATTTCATATCGATTAATTTAGCCAACTTCTCGTTCAATAGTAAAAACGTCATTTTGTAATCTCAATTAATTTAATGAATGCAACAGTTCATGCTTATGCAAAACTAAATTTACAGTGGACCCAGTAAAAATTATCCCGAGAGCGGTGATGCAAAAGTTATTCAATCTAATTTTATTTATTAACTGTGATTGCGCTGACTCACTAAGATTTCCCATTTTTTGGGGCCTTGTTTATTTAAAACTTGTAATTGGTTGTCAAAGACATTATTTTTACTGCACAACCGCCGTTATTATCGGCACCCTGAATATTTTTATTAAATTTTTGATTTTCAAACTTGAATAACGCCGTTATTTCTCAACCGATTTAGGTCATTTTGCGCTTAAAATGTCCGGAATGACTTTAACTAAAATATTTTCAATAAGCGAGCATGCTGAGATACACCACTTATGAATCATAAAAATAAATATGCTTTCAGGGGAAAATTTTTGCACATTTTGGCACATAACTTGGGTAAAAATCAAAAATTCGCCAAGTCGACTAGCACATCTTTTCTAAATTATCTAACAATGATCTGTGCAAAATTTCATCAAAATCCGTTGAGAAATCGACTTATGTCACTTTTTTTGGGTGGGGTAAATGCATACTTAGCAAATTTTTGTCGTTGTCAGGTATTTGCCTCACTAAGAAAAACTCGTAAACTTTATAAAAATCGGTGTGAAACTATTACTATTTTTTGCAATCTATTAAATTAAGTTCCATATTTAATATATTACATTTTGAGATAAGAAGATATTTTTTAATTATACTAAAATCTTCAATTTTTGCAAACTCTGCCTTGCAAATTATACCAATTGATAGAAATTGTTACCTCTGGTGGCTGAGGTGGTCGGCAGGGTAGGTTTGGAGTACCGAGGTCATCGCGTCCATTAATTACGAGGTCACCTCCTCCAAAATTGGGCACCTTCTTGTCCCTTCGCCTCTTCTTCTTCTTTTGAAATTGTGGGATGAATTCTGACCTCAAATAACGACTTAAAAATAATTATTTTACTTGTAACTCATCCATTAGCTACAAAAACTGTCAAAAAATCGTGATTTTTGTCCATATTTTATTATACTCTTTCATTTTAATCATCCATCACAATTTTGTCGGGTTCGAATATTAGAAGATAATTAATTAACCCAGAGATTCATATGAAAAATTAATTAGATACGTATCATCTTATCATAAATTGTCATGTATCATATCATTTGAATTATATGGAAATTCGCCCCCTCTACCGCATCCCACAAGGTCCACAAATCGGTTGTGGCGCAGGAGGAGCGGGTCGAAACCCGGTCAGCGGCGCGCGACCCCCGCACCTCACTTCGCGCGACGACGGGCACACAAATCCCGGCTGAGGCGGTCGACACGGTGGCGACGGTGGCAGCGGCGGCTGGAGCGGCGGGGTTCGCTCCGCTTCGGGAAAACAGCGCACCTCCGCGCACTTGTCTTTGGGAGGAAACATGTTGTCGTACTCGGGATACGGGATGCAATTTTCGAGCTGTTCATCGTCGTAGTAGAAGGGTTCGTAGGCACACCGGTAGACCGTCCTGTCGTCAAATTTCCCTTGAGGTTTGGCCCCGTACAGTTTCGGTTTCATGGACCTGCCCGGATCCGGGCGATTGTTGGGGAGGAAGTCGCGCTGGTAAAAGGAAGGAGGAGAACGGTTGTAATTGGGGAAGAGATTTGTGCAGGGATTTTGAGCGAAGTGCGAATTTTTTGAGAGGCGCAGAGTTTTTTGGGGTGTAAAATGTTGTCAGAATTTGTGTAGTTTTGAAAAATAGTTGAATAATACTTAGAAAATTTTGATATTTACGAAAATGTTTTAAATAATTTATGAAAACTATTTTGACATTTGTGTCCTCTTTTCAATGAGTTGTGGAACACAGGCATAAACTTTTTGGCAGTTGGGTTACTAATTCTCTTCGACTCCCCCAGAATTCGGGGGTCATTTCGCTCAGAATTCGGGGGTCATTTCGCCCAGAATTCGGGGAAAATTTCGCCCAGAATTTAAGTGGACAATTCTTGTACCTTGTACGTCGTGATCCCTTCAAATGGTGCGCAAATGGATCCATATTCCAGTTGCAACTCTTTCTGCGTCTTTTTTGCGTCGCGAGGGAGCAGTCCGTGGGGAACAAAGGCGATGCTGTAGGTTGACTGGTCATCCAACGGGGGTGGACAGGGGTCGAGAAAAAACCGCTTTTTCGTCGTCTTCGCTGGTGCGCCCTCCTTCTTGGGATAATCTCGAGTGTACGACGTTTGACCGTTCATGGGTTGGCAGGGCGGAAAATATTCCCAGTCTGGCGGTCGGGCCTCCTTTTTGCTCAAGGGGAACGCCTTGTACTCGGAACGGTACACGGAATCCCAGTAGAATTGGACTTCCGTGCGCCACGGGGTGTTGGACGGTCTCATCTGCGCGGGACGGTCACCTTTCCGAGGGACGAAATCATTTCGGTAGGTGGAACTCCCTGATAAGAAAAATGATAAGATTGAATCCGCAAATAATGAAGGTTTCTCAGCGTATGGTATCAGATTTTGACAAAATTAGTGTCAATCAATCACAAATTCAGTATGAAATTTGCAAAAGACATAATCTCACAATAGGCACGTTTGGCAGAGATATTGCATCCGAAAAGGAGAAAATACGCAGTAAATTTGGAAATCTTAAAATTTGACAAATTTTCTGTGCCTTTTCTCCACTTTTTATGCAAATATCTCTGCCCAACGTGACCATTGGGAGATTGTGTCTTTCGCGTCTTTCATACTAATTAAATTTGTAATTGATTGACAGATTGGAAAACAGATATTTACAAAAGACACGATCATATTTGGCAGAGATATTTGCATCCGAAGAAGAGAAAACTCGGAGAAAATTTTGAAAGTGTAAAATTTTGTCGACTTCAAGGCGCTTTTTTTCCTCTTCCAATGCGAATATCTTTGTCAGACGTGACGATTTTGAGATCGTTTCTCATGCAAATTTCACATTAATTAAACTTACAATTTAGCTGCTTGTTTTTCGGAAAAGTGGATGATCTTGGGTAGATCGGGGTAGTTCTTTGAGCCAAATTTCCTTCTGGACAGCGTCGGTTTTGCGGCTTTTCCATAATTGAGCAGTTACGAAGGGTAGAATCAAATGCGGTCGTGGGTGGTGGTAGAGATGGGATTGTCCTGGGAAAATTTAGGAAATTATGTTTGAAATTATGTATGAAAACAGGGGTGGGCTAAATATTTATTTTGTCAAAGTCAGTTTTCCACATTTCTTGTAATACTGCAGATCAAGAAACGCAAGAAATTCGAGGTGCAAGAAACTGCAAGAAATATGCATCTTCTAGCCACACGCCGTAGTTTCGTGCGCTTTTCATTTCTTGCAGGTCAAAATTTTTCCCTTACCCACACGGGTTCCGTTCAGAAGAAGGGTTCATGGTGTCGGAGGTATCGCCAATCTTTGCAAAAACGGGGACACGCGGGGAAAAATGTGTAGATTTCTGAAAATACTCAATTTGTTTTATAAATTGATCTAAAAAAATCCTGTTGTTATTATTTTGCATAAATAACTATGGAAGTAGTGTGCAAATTTTTTTTGCACGCTATTTTTTGTTAAAATATGATAGGAGAGGCAAGGTGAGACTACCCTATTTCTTTCTCTTGCCTGCAGTTACATTGTCTGCAATTAACCGGAAATGATTGACACGGTGTTTCGTTCGTGTACCTGATAGCTGCGTGTCCTCATATCACTGTCAAATTGGCCACAATAGGGAAAAAGAAATGGTGTGAATAATTAATTCCGAATGGGGTTGTTGTTTGAGGTGAGGTGAGACGGGTAAATATGTAGTCCACGTCGTCTTATGTATGTACAAGTGGGGTACTCATTAGTCACTCTGAAACAGGATCATCACACCATCGGGTTGCAAAACCAAGTAAAAACTTTAGTATAAAACGCCAGTAGTAAAATCTCGTCATCTTTACAATTTAATTGGTCAAGCAAGATGGTCAAGCACTTATCAAAAAATAAGAGATTTAACACAGAAAGTACACGGATGACGCCACGTGACCCATATAAGTGATCTCATCGTGACATTGTCATTAACCGAGTAATTACGACGACATATTGTCAAATTTTCCGGAAAAGAACAAGCCATCTGATCATAACGGGGTAACGACACCACGTGACACCAATAAGTGATCTCATCTTCATCTTATCCAGCAATTTACTCCGACGTGGTCAAATTTTTGCGAAAAAAATCATCTAATCGTGACTGGGTGGTCCAATAAAATAGTGAAAGTGAAGTGATCTCATTGTGACATTGTCCACTAAATGTCCGTCGACCAAATCTCTCTCGTCATCATCGCCCCCATCGCCCAGACTCACACCGCATAATTTACGACGACATGGTCCTATTTGGCAAAAAAAACCATAATCGTCCCGTAAAATAGTAAAGTTTTCCAAAAAACTAGCCATCTAATCGTCCAGTAAAAGTAGTGAAGTGATCTCATCGTCCACTAAATTCGTTGTCCCATGTCCCACGAGCAACTCTCCCTCTCCGTCCTCACCCCCTTGGCGCCCATCCTGTTCGCCGTCCTCTTCGTCGCCCGTACTCACGCCAAAACATCCCCCACCCACCACCGCGCCCACCTCGTCGCCCTCCTCTTTTCTTGCCTTGGTCCATCCCCCACGCTGCGAATCGTCACCTGTTCCGTCAACCTGATCGAGCTGGACGAACCGGATTTTTACAACCCCTCCATCCAAGCCTGGTTCGCCACGGAACGGACGGCCAACTACGTCTGGCATGTAGACTCATACCCAAACGGGGCCCTTCCCGTCGACAATACGGCCTTCCTCGCGCCACCCACGTGTCAATACAACGTGCTCAGTGCGGGTGGGGCCGCTACGGCGAAATGGTTGAGAAACACGAGGATATTTTTTCCTAATTTGTTGGTCGGTATCCCGAAAGGTGGGTAACATAAGCGGGTTATATAATCAGAGGGTGAATATATATTTATGAAAAATTGCTTAAAAATGTATTCAACATTTACGAAAAAATGACAAAATATTTACGAAATTAATACACGAAAAAACAAGAATTTTGGCAAAAAACACATTTCAGAATAATGTTCTGGATCTTTTTATGCTCCAATTTTGCGATTTTGTTTATTTCGGTAAAAAAAATCGTCTCTCATCATTTTAATCTTTACAAATGTAGAATGTATGTATTTCTGAAAAAAATATCGAAAATCTTTACGCAACAGTATAAATTTTTCTGAATATTTATATTTTTGAAAACCTTGAAATATGTAACGATACATATGTAAAAATTTTTACAAATTTTTGTGATCAATAAGAGTTACGAAACACACCCAGAAAGTTTGACCGTTGGTCGTCATCAAATGAAAAGAAATGCATATCCGCCCTCTGGTAATAATTGACCTCAAAAACCGACCTCTAATTTTATGCAGAAGAGATCTCCCTCGCCTCTGGAGGGAACGCGGTGCAGATTTCGCCCCGGTCGCCGACGACGCCGACTTCGTCCTCCTTTGCGGAAGTGTGGCGTGACGTGATTCTTCCCGTGATTCGGTACGACCACATTTTTCCGATGGGCGGGGTGATGGCCGATGAGGAGGAAAAACCCGCCTTGGACGAGATGACGAAAGTGCGGGGGCCACTGTTAGGCGGGCAGCCACACCCCTACAACCATCACACGAGCAAGATGGAGGGCTACATTAGAGACCAGATGACGCAGAGGAGAGGTGCGGATGGAGAGAGAGGTCAGATTTCGGTCACCTGTTGAGGGAATTTACAATAAAATAAAAATATGGATGGGAACTTATTTTCGAAATTTTATGAAAGACTTGAGAAATGTGAGTCTGAGAAATTTTAAAATTCTTTCTGCGTATGCAATAAATTTTGGTAAAAACGGGAACTAATTTTCCTAGTTGTGAAGTTATTAAGAATAAATTTATGTTTTCTGAATTTGCGAAATTTTTTTTGATATACTTTAAGACCGATGTAGGTTTATTTAAGTTTAACTTGAGAGAATCAATTATTAAGGTTCTCGTTCTCATTGCTGACAAAATATTTTTTTGGAAAGAGAGATTTCTGTGAACGGTTGACGAATTGAAGGAGGAAATTGTGGGTGGGTTTATTTAGACTTAATTTAATCTTATCAACTATTTAGATTTTGCGCCATGCTCCATTGAACATACATTCATAGGTCTCCTTTAGGAGGCTTATCCACTTTTCTCTGGCCATGCTCTTGCTAATTCTTTACGAAATAATTTTTTTGCGGATAGAGAGAGGGCAGATTTCTGTGAACTGTTGAAAAATTGAAGGAGGAAATTATTATGTTACTTTTTAAAATAAAAATATGGATGGAAACTTTCGAAATTTTATGAAAAACTTGAGATGTGAGCCTGGAAAATTTTAAAATTCTTTTTGTGTATGCAATAAATTTTGGTAAAAGTGGGAAAAGAGTATCCCATTTGTGAATTATTAGGAATAAATTTATATACTTTTTTTAAATTTAACGGAAAACTTTTTTGATATACTTTGAGACCGATGTAGGTTTATTTAAGTTTAATAAGGAAGCATCGAATATTAAGATCTTGCACCCTGATGTTGCTAATTCCTTACAAAATAATTTCCTTGTGGATAGAAAGAGGACAGATTTCTGTGAACTGTTAAAGAATTTAAGGAGAAAAAACTTACTTTTTAAAATAAAAATATGGATGGGGACTTATTTTCAAAATTTTATGAAAGACTTGCCTGAAAAATTTCAAACTTCTTTCTACGTATGCAATAAATTTTAATCAAAATGGGAACTAAATTTCCCATACTTGTGACGAAGTTATTAAAACTTAATTTATATTTTCTGAATTTACAAAAAACTTTTTTGATATACTTTGAGACCTATGTATATTAATTTAAATTTAATTAGAAAGCATTAAATATTTAGATGTGCGCTCTTGCTAGTTCCTTACAACGTAAATGTTTGTTTGCGGATGGAGAGAGGGCAGATTTCTGTGAACTTTTGAAAAATTGAAGGAGGAAATTATTTATTACCTATGTTACTTTTTAGAATAAAAATATCTTATTTTCGAAATTTTATGAAAACCTTGTCAACTTATGAATGTCCCTAATAATTTATTGTGCATAATACATATTATGTATCTAATAAACTTTGGTAAAAATTAGAACTTGTTTTCAAACTTGTAAAGTTATTGTATTACGAATAAATTTGTATTTTCAAAAATTTGCGAAAAAAATATGAAATACTCTAAATCCGATGTAGATTTTGATCTAAATTTAATTTACAACGCATCAGATTGAAAGATTAAATTCTTGTCTCATAGAATTTAAGTTAAACATCCTAAAATGTGTGGATACAATTTTATTTTTTTGGGTATTAATTCCTAGCAAATTAAATTTTACTAAAAAAATGGAAACTCATTTTGTATCAAAAACTTTAATAAATTCGAGCAAAACAAAACTTTTGAAATAAAATTAAAATATTACGATCTAAAATATTAAAATAAAAATAAAATTCAAGTTCAATGCATTCCATTTAAATAGTTCCTTACTACTTTTTTCGGTAAATCTGAAATCGAATTTAATTGATTGCAAAAAAAACAAATTTATTAATTAAGAGTTTCACGCCGATTTATAAAGTTTACGAGTTTCATATATTGTTAAGAGGCGAAGATGTTGTAGTACTTCAATCTAATTGTGCTAAAATGTAATTGCTAAATTTTGCCAAATATTTCGCACAATCGCATATTGATAACACTTCACTATGTTAAACAAGTAAATAATTATAATTTTTTGTGCTCCTAAGTAATCAAATTATTTAAAAAATGCAAAATAATGAGGATATTCATTATTGATTATTTTGTTAAGAATGATGAAGCACCAAGGAGGATTATTTTTTTAATTGGTTAAATTAAAGTAACTTTCAACAAATGCCGGTGTGAAGATCAGCATTTTAAACAACACGCTACTTCCGTGTAAACTAAAGTTTACAAAAAAATGGAAACTTATGTTGTTCCAAAAATTTCAATAAATCCGAGCAAAAATAAATACCTAAAACTTACCTATTTTCTAACTTTGTGAAACATAATATTGTCGCCAAGATCAGATTAAAATCTGAAGCAATGTGGTTTTACAGTTTTTTGTCAAATAAATTTTATTAAAAATGAGAAGTTAAAATGTGTCCTTATTTTGGAAAAATTCCAAAATTCCAAAAATAATTTGTCCGCTTTTGTGGAAAACTTTAAACCCCATTAGGATTTTTAATTTTTAATTAAAACCAATCCGTAAGTAAACATCAAAATATTTTTTATGTGTGAGGCTTATTAATTAAGTGCAAATTAAATTGTTCTAAAAAACGAAAACTTATTTTTTTCAAAAACTTCACTAAATCCAAGTAAACACAGAAACCTGAAACTTACCAAAAATTTTCAAACTTTGCAAACAAAAAGTTTCCCCAAAAGATCAGCTCGGATCAGAATAAAATCTGCACAAATGAGATTTTACAATTTTGTGTGAAATAAATTGTAATAAAAATGCGAAGTTAACTTGTGACCTTCTTTTTGAAAAATTTAAAAACACGAAAACTTATTTTTCCAATTTAGTGAAAAACTTTTAAGCCAATTAGGATTTTTAATTTTAAATTAAAATGCATCCGAAAGTGAAGATCCACGCCACAGGGGAGTAGGATTCATTACGTGCAAATTGTACTAAAAAATTAAAATTTATTTTTTTCAAAAATTTCACTAAATCCGAATTAACACCAAGAACCTAAAACTTACCTAAAATTTTCCAACTTTTCAAACAAAAAATTGTCCCCAAAAGATCAGCTCGGATCAGATTAAACTCTGAACCAATGAGAGATTCAGTTGACACCCAAATCACAGATTGAAATCCAACCCTCTCTCCTCTTTCGAAAAAAACTCTGGAGAGTCGACGCATCAGATTCTCAAATCCCTCATCCGATCTGCATGGCAATGGAATGGATGAGAATGGATGAGAATATACCCGGATGGGAAGAGAATTTCCCACATTTTTATCCCAGATTTGATTGACACCTCAATAAAACGGGATCTCTGGTTATTTCCAAAATTTTAAAATTTCCAAATTCATGGAGGAGCACACTACTTATTTTGATCCCGATTTCGAACCATGGTTAGCAAACAAGGGACACGTCACAAGTCTCCACTTCCTCTGGGCATGTCACGGATTGAGAAGTTTGCGTAAGTATATTTTTTTTATTTTTTGCTTAAAAAAGTTTGCAAATTATTATTTTTTGCACTAAGTTCGTACCACCGGAAGTGGTGGACCTGGCCTCGGAAATCTGCCTCGTCTCATAGTTCGCATTTATCACGAGTGGATCGTTCCTCCGAGTGGGTTGAACTTATCGAAGGAAACTTTAAGGACGACGATAAGCTATCTGCTTCGGTTGGGTCCGCCAAGTTTGACAAATTTGGAGGAGCATGTCGCCATCCTGGAGGAAATTGAGGGGCACGTCCATTCAAATTTGAGGTCAGAGTTCATCCCACAGTTTCAGAAGAAGAAGAGCCGACGGGACAAGAAGGTGCCCAATTTTGGAGGAGGTGACCTCCTAATTAATGGACGCGATGACCTTGGTACTCCAAACGTACCCTGCCGACCACCTCAGCCACCAGAGGTACATACATAATTTCTTTAAATTGGTATAATTTTTAAGACGGAAAATTGTGCAAAAATTTTGGACATGAAATTACATTTACATTTTAGTAACTAAACTCTTAAAATTGAGTTTACTGAAAAATATTTCTTTCATCTTTATGTGTAATAGTAAGTATCTGAAAGTAACGTAAATAGTAATACTACATTTTATTTACTCAAAATTCAAAATTATTTATCGTCAAGCTCTATCTATACTCTATTAATCAATAATCATTTCTATATCTGCACTTCAATATATGCATTTACATTGAGTACATAATTTGATTATACAACAAAATGGAAAAAGTCGTTTAAATCCTGCATTTCGTGAAATTTGTTTCAACTTATTATTTAATCATAATTATTTTAATTTCCAAAATATCAATTTAGAAACAAAAATATTACAAAGCAATTTTCGACTGGTCAAACTGTCATTTGTATATTTTTTTAAAGCCTTGGTTTGTAACCTTCCTCAAGGTTATGCAAGTCAAATAGTTAAATATTAGATGAAAACGTGTCATTTCGCGTCACAACTTATTTGACAAATTTCGGTTTTAAAAATAATCTTCAAAGTTATAAAACGACGATTTTTTGGTATATTTTTTTTTAAAGTGCATCGTTTTCTATATAGAAACGAGTTTTGCCAACGTTTTGAATACAGCTTTGCGAGTTATTGATAATGTAAATTTTCTGTGTCGATGTTTGCCAAACTTTTGAAGATTCATCTGAGTTATTCTTGAGTAATTTGATTATGCAAAAAAAAATTAAAAAAGTAAGAGCTTGACGTTGTATTAACAGTATATATTTCCGAAATTGGACAAATTTAAGTAATCAAGGTTCAAATTTGCTGCTAACTTGCAACACAGAAATGAAGGAGTTTTTTAATTTTTGTAGTTTTTTAATTAATTATTTTTGTAATTTTTCTTAACACAAATTAGGAATATTTTTTTTAATTTGTTAAATTTAAAAAAACGAGTCAATTTGCACAAAAATAGTCAAATAATAATTACTAGCTAATCATAAATCCAGATAGTACCAGTAATTTTTATATATCACCACATCATGTCCATTTCTCCTGATCTGTTATCAATTTCAACGTCGCCGACATTTTCGGTTGCAAATTGAATAGTGTACTCATCTTATCGTAGATAATACGTTGATATATATTACACGCCTCAAATGGAATTACTGATGCAAAAAAGTAACAATTTTTTCTCGCATTTTGATCAATTTTAAAAAATGGAAATAAAATAATAAAGGCAGTCAGAGTTTCACACCGATTTTGTAAAGTTTACGAGTTTTATATGTATTAGAATAAACCAGATAACAATTGCGGCTTGAAACAATTTTTTTTACTAATAAGTAAATTTTATCAAATAGTTCGAGCCTTGATAATACAAAAAAATTGTATTTAAGGTAACAAATCTGTGTGGTTTGCAATATTAAAGTGTAAATTTTATCAAATAGTTCTAGCCTTGATAATATTTAAGGTAACAAATTTGTGTAGTTTGCAATATTAAAGTTTTATGAAAATTCAGTCATAAAGTTTAAAATATTAGTTTAATTAAATTTTGTTTATCTCAAAAGTAAAAAAAATCAAAATAGAATCGAGTTTAATTAGATTGCAAAAAAAATATTTATTGTAAGAGTTTATTGATTAAGAGTTTCACCGATTTATAAAATTTATGGGTTTTAGATGTGATTGAAAAACGAAGATGTTACAGTTGTTCAATTTAAATTAACAATTACTAATTGATCAATTTTGCTAATATTTCGTACATTAATAACATTTCATTTAAGGTAAATAATTAAATAATGATCAATTTTGCTAATATTTCGTACATTAATAACATTTCATTTAAGGTAAATAATTAAATAATGATCAATTTTGCTAATATTTCGTACATTAATAACATTTCATTTAAGGTAAATAATTAAATAATGATCAATTTTGCTAATATTTCGTACATTAATAACATTTCATTTAAGGTAAATAATTAAATAATGATCAATTTTGCTAATATTTCGTACATTAATAACATTTCATTTAAGGTAAATAATTAAATAATGATCAATTTTGCTAATATTTCGTACATTAATAACATTTCATTTAAGGTAAATAATTAAATAATGATCAATTTTGCTAATATTTCGTACATTAATAACATTTCATTTAAGGTAAATAATTAAATAATCATAATTTTCTTGTTCTCAGCTTATCAAATTATTTTTTAAAATGCAAAATTAGTTATTTTAGTTTAATTAAAAACTTATTTTTTATTATCTCAAAATACAATAAATTCGAATTTAACTGATTGCAAAATATGAAAAGTTTTACACCGATTTTAAAACGTTGAAGTGTTGAATACATCATTGAAATATAAGATAATGGATGACCCGAATTGAATATAATAGTGCTAAAATTTAGTTAATAAATTGTGCACATTGATAACATTTCACACTTTTAATTAACTAAATAATTATAATTTTCTTGTGTTCTCAACTTATCAAATTATTCAACAAAATGCAAAATATTATGCATTACTCTCCATTTAAATAGTTTTTTCCTACTTTTTTCCGTAGCTCAAACCAGCTCAATTTTTCGAGCAGGTGGCCTCTCGACTTAAAATCTTGGCGTTATCGTCACCCCCCACAAACGGAGAAGGAGAAGAAATCAGCAATATCAGTCATCAGCAATAAATAAATCAACCAAAATATAGTACACAAGTCAGAAATTTATGAAATTTTATTTTGAAAAATTAGTCAAATTTCACTAAATATAATTGTTTTCTTAATTTTGTGCAAGTCATAATCATTAAGTTGTAATGTAAATATTAAGAAGAGAAGAAATTCCAAGTGACCATAATTGAAAGAAACATTTATTTATGAAAATGAATCCAAAACCTCGGATTATTTCCTACAAACCAAAAACTAAAATGAATAACAAATATGTCACCCAGAGATTTTGAGCGACATGGATAAAAAAATGTCATCCGGGACGAAGACTCCTCCCAAAGTGTCACCAAATCTCTCATTCTCATCTCGTCTCATTTATTACTATATTACGGATTTCTACAAATGTTTGGCCACCACGTACACATACGAATATAGAAAGAAATAACAATAAAATAAGGGCTGATCCTTCACAAAGAAATGAATGGAGAGGCACAAATTGAGAGTGGAGTTCTCTTCCCCTCCGATTTTTTTAGTCGTGGATGTTCTGATGATGATGTAACGAGGGTCGTCTTTCAATCAAAGGCCAGCTGCTGGTCGTCCCCTCTGCTTCGTGCTATTCAGGAAAAAATGAGAACAAAGGCGAAATTATTATTAGTTCCGTTATTTGCACAATGAGAAGCTTTTGTTCAGTTGTTAAGAAAATTATCCATCCATCCACTCGAATTTCGAGTGGTTTTTCGAATATAATAAAGAGTCAAAATTTATCGGGTTTTTGATTCATGTAAATTCTTGAATAAGCTTTTTGAAATTTTATTTTATCCGGAATCATAAATTTAGTGCAGATTTTTCAATGCATAGTATTTGTTAATATTTTGTTCAATTTTTAATTGTGGTTAATTTTGTTTAAAAAATAAACATACATATTTCATAAAATGATCCGACGCAGGTTTACAAACATAAATAATTACCTTTTAAAATTTCTATTTTTTCACTTTTTTTGTGTAATTATAGCAAACGGGGAAGAATTTCAAGATTTTGATAGGCTTGTAAACCGTTAAATTAATTTCAGCATAAATATTAGTGATGACTTGGTTTTAATCAGGTACCTCAGGTGTGAATATTCCATTGCGATGACATTAAAAAAAATATATTACCAAAAGTATCAGTTAAATTTGAATAACGATTTAAAACTTTATGGAAACATACATACTGAAAAATAGTGCAAATCATTCTGAAATTTGGTAATCTATAATACCTAGGTTAGGAACACGTGTGCGTGTGCAAAATTTGAAATTTTTGCATTATCCAGTGAAAAAGTCGAAATAAATGACATGACAAAGAAAAGATAAGGATCATAGTAAATTAATTTGCGATGGAAAAATTTGCACTTTTTTTACCGTAAAAGTTTCCGAATTTATCATTCTGTAAGACGGTGTAACATAGTGTGGTGTATTTGTTGAATGCTTTTAATCATGCTGTAGAATGGATGAATAGGTTGAAGGATGTTAGTTAATTACTTCATTAATGATATTTAAATTATTTGAAATTAAATGCAATTATCTAAATGCAAATTGAAACGGTACTAATTAAGGATTGAATTAATTTGCACTTTTTTTTAGAGTAAAAGTTCCCAAATTTGTCATTTTGCCGGGGACGAACGCCATATAAAATATTACGGTTTATTTGTTAAACTTGTTTAATTATACTTTAGATTCATTACCAGGTTTATAAAAACCCAGGTTAATATTGTCACGGGAGGTGTACATAAATTGTTACCAAATGGTGACAATGTTTTTCACCGTAGAGTGACAAATCTTGCTCGCATAGTGTCACAAATTGTCACTAATGGATGATAATTTTATCACCATTAGGCGACGATAAATACCGGGTTATTAACAGTGTACTTGATTAATTCATTAATGATATTTATTTAAATTATTTAACTAACGGGAAATTAAAATGCGTGCTAATGAGGGATTGAATTTATTCGGATTTTTGTAACGCTTTTTGTAATTTACGATTACTTTTTCAAAAAGTTTTCTTATTCAAAATTTACGAAGGGATGTCAAGTTAGAGATTTTATGAAAAATTTGAATTTTGCGACTTTGCGACTTTATAAGTTCCCTCAAAACAAGCGGATAATAAATTCAGATCAAAAAGTAAGCGTCGTATAAAATATTTCTGTGAATTTGAATACGCTGTTTATACGCAGATCGAGTGGACACCCTTCGTCAAATTTATTAATTAATTTTTAACTAATGATTAAAAAATTGAATTTTATTTCGAAAAATAAAAATTTAAGTGCAAAAATTTCCAAATTTATCATTATGTTCCAACATGGAATAAGTATGTTGAAATTTTCCAAACAAAATTATGCAATTATTAGACGCCGAAATGGCTCAAAATGGAAAAAAATAAATATGTATTACTTGAAACATATAGATAATAGGTTTGTCTTACTTTCGATATTATGCAATTTTTAAACTGTGATTTACTATTTTACTCTGATTTTTTCTGAACTTACGATTATTTTACAGAAACTTAAAAGTATTAATTTTAAAGTGGAAAAAATATGTCTCAACTTACCTCATCAGCAACTCGAATAACTTTACTCCTCGTTAAGCCACCCCATGGACACGTGGTATCACTCCTCCCTCTCTTGGCACCTTTATCATCCCCCCTCATTCTTCCATAAAGTAGGAGGCTTATCAACACCACGATAACCACGAGGAGCACTACATACAAAAGTAGAAATTGTCAAATTAAATAATCCCATCGTGAGTCTCAATTTACCTCAAAATGTAATGTTAAGTTTACCCGAATTGATCCACCATGACCACGACGCCGACGCCACGATACGCCGGGTCTCGCCACCCCAACTGATTAAACCTTCCGTCTCATTGAATAGACGAAGTAAACAGCGGACGTCAACTGTGCACAAAATTAATAATAATAACGAATTTGCAAATGTGCTAATTTATAAATGCAAGTTTTGTACATATTTACAATGTTTGTAAGCTTTGTAAAAAATTATGTCGCAAACATTCACGAAATAAGTGATTTGTATTTGGTTTTGTAAGATCTATTTATGTATAAACCAAGATTTTCTTGATAATGACCACTTTTTAAAATAAATATATTTTTTTTAATATCTGGAAAATTTGATCAAATTTAGAGATTTCTGTGAAATTGCGTAGTGTTGCATCCATTTAATTTATTTAAGCAAAACATAAAATGTAAATAGTTTACAAGATCATTAATTTGGACAGTGTGTCATAAAGCGCCATAGTTTTAAGGTTTGCATTTTATATGGACCTTTGAAATTCACTCTGAAATTATGCCATAAATTAATTTATAATATATTTTACCTACATCAATTAAATAATTGCTCATTAAGAAAATATATTGATATAGTTCCCTTCAATTTGGAGTAAATTTTCAAAATTTTGAAAACTACACACAAATTCATACATGCATATTTAAAAATCTGATAAGCTATAAAACAATGTCAGTTACATAAATATCCCAAGTTGTTATAAACATCTTACTGAATCCGAATTATGTCACGTCTAACGGGAATCTAACCTAACTTTGATTTCACAAAGAAATCGAGATTTTTCGTAATCTTTGTAAACTCATAAGCACACCTGTTCACTTTCATTCATGTGACTGATTATGATAGAGAATGATATTGAATGAAAATGAATTTCCTGTGATTTGAATGAAAAATGACTGAAAGATTCAGTCATTTCAGATGAGTGACTACGAATGAAAGGATTTCTCAATCCTTTCATTTTGCACCTTGTGCTTAATACGAAATGAAGCCAGATGAAGTGAAATGAAATGAGTTTGAAATAAAATGACTGAGGAGTGTGAATGAAAATCATCAGTCAAAAAACGGGATGGCTAAACTTTGAATGAAAAAAATTTGTTTGAACAGGTATATATAGATTCGCGTAAATTGTGTCATTATCTTATTTACCGATTGGAACATTGTACTCCTCCAACCAACCGGAAGTTGCAGTTGCGTTCGGCGTGATGAAAAAGGACGGAATTAAGACGAGAAATTCTTCCTCTTTGGAGATAACAGAGTCGCCATTACGCCAAGAGTGGGACACGCTGTGAAGTTTAGATCCCGCAAATTCGACGCGAAGTTGGTCTGCATAAAAGAAACTTAAAAAAATTAGCAAAACGATATTAAAAAATAATTTTAATTATAAACTTTTTTTGCGTACGTATCGTGCCGAAAATAAAAATGTCGATAATTTTGTATATATTGTAACGTGTAAAAGATTCTTCTGCGACCTTCTAAAAGTTATTTGTATCGTATTTTTGTTACAATTTGCAATTTGTTTTTGCATTTTTTGGTAAGAAAATTTACATTCATTTTTTTTTTACTTAAATTTTTACTTAACTTAATAACTTTTTATTACCATTTTACGCGACACTTTCACTTACCAAATCAGTAATCTTAAAATTTCATAAGTTATGCTGACCTACTAAACGATTAGAAATACTTTTTTGTACAAAAAGAGGATTTTTGCTCGCAAATTTACCGAGGAAATTTGCATCTTTTTATTTCATAAATATTTTATTTTACTTATCGGAAAAGAAAAAATTTTAATGAAAAAACTTGAAATTTTTGAAATTTACAAACAAAATTACACAATATTAAACGCCGGTATGACTAAAAAATAAAAAGTATAAAGAGATATGGACATATTGATAGGTAGATGTTTCTCGTCAAAGAAATAGATTTTTCGAAATTTCAATTTCTAAATTTTATGGAATTTTAAAACTTTATCATTTATTTTTCTTCCGATTTTTCGGAATTAAGATTATTTTTCTAGAAACTTATTAAAAGTAGATATCAATATTAAAACTATATCAGGAACAATTAGCTAAACAAGTTGTGACTCTTAATAATAAATATATTTGACTTGAGTATGCCAAATAAGCTAAAGTCTGTAGTGCAAATTTGCTCAAGTCGTTTTTTTGGAATCTTAAATATTGCCGTGTCGTTCTAAAATTAGTTGACACCTTATTTGCATAATATGCAAATGATTATAAATTTATTTTTAAAAAACAGTACCGGAAACGAACAAGCGGGTAGAGTGCGTTTCAAATAGTTTGATGAGAGCCCCACCCGTGATGCGCCAGAGGGACGCCGAGTCCAAAAATGGCATCCAGCGATGCACATCGATCTCACGGATGTCGTGAAATGCTGAAATATTTTTTAGAAAATATTTTAAATTAATATGCGAATCTTTGTAACTGCGTAAATTTTACGAAATTCTGGACAAAATGTCAGTCAACTTTACTTTAGAAGCTTATTAATTAATTATTTAAGCCTAATTATTAATTATTTACTTATTATTTATTAAGTAACTGCAAAATAGGACTAATTGTTACTTGGAGTTAACGAGAAGCTTTGTAATTGGATAAACTAAATTTTTACGGTTATAAACTTTTCAAATTTTCACAATTTTACAAAATGGGTTTGCATTTGCAAAAAATTTGGAAACTTTAACACGTGGGTATCTCCATATCTTGTATAAACTTTGCGAAATAATTTGTGCAGTTTTATAAAGTTTACAAATTTTTGATTTATCGACTTTCAGATCAGAGAGGACGAATCTGACTCTTTCTTGTAACAAAAATAGTCATAAAATTATTTACTGACTTGGAAGTCTCAAAAATCATTCAACAAATATATTTCTGAAAAAAATTACCTAAAAATTGCCAACTTTGTGCCGTTTTGAAATAGATTTGTTACTCTATTTTACTTCGCAACCTTTATAAATTTACTAACTTATGTTACAAAGATTCGCGTGAAGCGTTTTATTATTTTCTTAAAGTAAATATTTATTAGTTCCCCAAAGAATATTCGGCGTAGTTAAGAAAGACTGGAGAAATTCAGAAATAACAGATTCGCCATTGAGCTAAGGATTGGATATTTTTGTAAAATTACTCAAATAATTTGCGTAATTTTATAAAGTTTACAAACATTCGAGTGAACTGTTTTAATTTTAAAAAATGCGAAAGTAGAGAAAACGGATCTGACTCTGTGTTGGGACAAAAATAGTTGGAATATATTTTAATGGCTTGCAAATTGGACAAAATTGTCGTGTTTAAATCTGACTCAAAAACCGTACAGAAATTTATATTTCTGTCAAAACTTAAACAGAATTCAAAATTTACCGTTTTACTCGAAATCATTATTTTCATTTTATAATTCAGTAATGTGATAATTTTTATACGAAATTTAAACCCAAATTTCCAAAAATTATACACTTACCAAACTTTAATTTTTTGAAATACACGGATTACAAATATTTGAATGAATTTCGCGTACAAACACATAGACGGAAAAATCATCTGAATGGCGTTTTATCGTACTAAAAATATCCTGGAATTTTGTACCTGGCGTAAAAACTTGACAAAATTGTTATTACTGAACTTTCAAATTTCTTAAATGCTCAAAAATTCATGGAGAAATTATGTTTCGGCAAAAATTAATGAAAAAATTGCAAACTCGAAATCTGCCTTACTATTCCAAAATTACTTCATTCAATCTGTCACACTTTAATTATAATATAATTAAATATAATATAATTATAATTATAATATATATAATTTAATTATAAAGAAAATTTGTAAACTTTATAAAACTGTGCAAAAATTAGTTTGCAAATTTCACAAAATATGGAGACAACCACAACTTGTTTAAGGTTTGCAACCAAACCGATTTCGCTCGTAATCTTTTGTAAAGTCGTGAAAATGAAGAAAAAAATATAACTGTAAATTTAGTTTATCCAATTGCAAACCTCTACGTTAACTGTTTGTACAATTTTAAAGTTATTTTACATCGTAAGTTTATCTTATTTTCAGAAACATCACCGTTAGCCATGTACAAAAAGTTATGCTAAAAACACTGGTCACTGTCTGCGTATAATTTCACGTTTCATTGCTATTTAGGGTCAATTAGTTGGAAACGTAATTTTCCAATCGCCAAGAATTATTTTCCACAGGGTGCTAATTTTAGAAGAGAAATTCGGAAATAGCAGATTTGCCATTGAGCTAGGGGTGGGACATTTTGTAAAATTTGTTAAGTAATTTGCGCAATTTTATAAAGTTTATAAACAATCGATTGAAAATTTCAATTTGAAATGCGTTAATCTTAAGCACATCTTTAATTAATAAGAGGAAAATTAAATTAATCTAGGAATCTGAGTATTTATTGTGACACAAATATTCAGACAATTATTTAATGACGTACAAATCTGACAAAATTATCGCTTTTTTGACTTGTTTTTGAAGTCTCACTCAAAAAACATACGGAAATTGTAAGCACAAATTAAGCAGAATATGCCAACTCAAAATTCACAATATTGCTCGAAATGTTACATAATGTTTGATGATTATGTTATTAATTTCATGTTTATACAAAATTTGAACAAAGTTTCAAAAATGACACATTTTGGTTTAATTTGTTTAATAAAGTTTGCACAGATTTCAAATGTTTGCTAAATAATTAAACTAGATTAAACTTCGATAAGAACGACCAAACTATCTGTTCGCTGTATTTACTAAAATGTATTTTGGTATTCTGTAAATGGCGTATAACCTCGACAAAATCACCATTACTCAATTTTCAAGTTTCTTAACTGCTCGAAAATCCTGCAGAAATTATGTTTAGGTTGAATATGAAACAAATTGGTGCAAAATCTAAATTAATAAATTTGATTGAATAAAATGCAAATTTTACTCAATTTGTCATACGTTTTATACCGATTTTAAATCTAAATTCTTCAAAAATTATAAACTTTAAAAAATTTAAGTGAATTATTTCACAATTTACAATTTCTGTCTTTATCCCTGGCATGGCACGCCCGATAAGGCCTTATCATCATGCATGGTGGTGACGACTTTCATTGAGACGAAATCCAACTGGACATTATTTTTTTTTACAAATTACATATCCTAAAACATAGGTCACACCGTCTGTTTTTCGAAATTAAGATTCATAAATAACTGGGTTTGTATTACAGACTTTGCAATTCAGAAAACTGCAAATTTTGAAAAAGAGACGTCTATGTACTTTTTGAAATAGATTTGTAACCATTTGTAATTTGCAAGCTCAGGTTACAAAGATTCGGGTGAAACGAAGCTTTTTTGTTGTTTGCATAGTGCTTATCAATAAATTCGAAAACTGATTCTCCAGATCTGAATCAAGAGTCGTATACTTTGTAAAATTTATAAAATAAATTGCGCAGTTTTATAAAGTTTACAAACATTTGATTGAAATGCGTTAATCTCTGTAAATTCTCAAGCTAATCGGTTACACATTTAGATCCAGTTCACGCAGTCTTGCAATATTTCTGAGGAGAATAAGCTTAAAAATTTTTGTAAACTTACTCAGATCAAGGGGTATTTTTATTTTACAAAAATTCTAAAGTTATAAATTTATAAAAATTACAAAATTATGTTACAAAACTTTAGATTTTACAAAGTTACCAATGACTGCGTTAATTGCCTCGTGTAAAGCGTTTTATTACTTACAGAACCTAAATAGTTCCCTAACCAACGTTCGCCGTAGGTAAAAAAAAGACGAGAAATTTTGAGATAACCGATCCACCATTGTACCAAAAGTGGAATATTTTGTAAAATTTAGAAAATAATTTATAGTTTTTCATAAAGTTTACAAACATTCGACTGAAGTGCACCAGTTAATTTTCACTTCTTAAACAACTAACTTGTTAGTCATGCACAAAAAATAAATCTGAACTATTTATTGCAATACAAATATTGGGAAATTTATTTAATGGCTTGCAATTGTCGCTTTTTAATTTTTTAAAATATCACTCAAAACCCATAAAAGAATTACTTATATTTCCGTCAATTTAAGACGAGAAATTTAGAAATAACTGATCACCATTGAGCCAAGAGTGTGGCATTTTGTAAAATTTTAAGAGTAATTTGAGCAATTTTATAAAGGTTTGCAAACAAAGGTTCGAGTAACCTGCACCTGGAAGAACCATCATTAATCTAACTATTTATGGTGACAAAAAAATTCGGAAAATTATTTAGTGGCTTGCAAATCTGACAAAATTGTCGCTTGTTGAATGTTGAAAATCTTACTCATACTAAACAACCACCACAGAGCTGTACGCAAACCACACAGAAATTATGTTTCTTTCAAAAATTGTACAAAATATGCCACCTCAAAATTCCAAATATTGCTCGAAATTCTACATAATTTGACATAATTACGTTATTAATTTTATTTTAATGTCATAGTTTTATACGGAATTTTTTAAAATTACACACTTTGTAGAGCTTTATTAAAAATTTAACAGATTACAAACGTCCGACTAAACTTTACTCAACACAAGCAAAACCGACCTAAAACATTGGAAAATCTAAGAACCTAACTTTTCCGGCATTTATAAAACCACCCCCACCCCCACCCAAATCCACCCCCACCCCCACCCCCATCAAATCCACCCCCACCCCCACCTAAATTCACCCCCACCCCCATCAAATCCACCCCCACCCCCACCCCCACCCTCGTCCACCCCCACCCCCATCCACCCCCACAATTTTTATGGGGCAACGTGAGATACCTTGGGGCAAAGTGAGATTCTATTTCATATTGGGGTATCGTTCGTAATTAGCGACGAAGCGAGCAGGTTAGGTTAGATCAACTAGGTACGCGGAAACCCTGGAAGGCTGAGCTAGCAAACCTAGCTAGCTAGGCTAGATAGAACCTAGGTAGCTAGGGTAGCTAGCAAGGCTACCTAGGTTAGCTAGCTAGAAGTGCTACCTAGGTTCTATCTAGCCTAGCTAGCTAGGTTAGCAACCCTAGCTACCTAGGTTCTATCTAGCCTAGCTACCTAGGTTCTATCTAGCCTAGCTACCTAGGTTCTATCTAGCCTAGCTAGCTAGGTTTGCTAGCTCAGCCTTCCAGGGTTTCCGCGTACCTAGTTGATCTAACCTAACCTGCCCGCTTCGCTCGCTAATTACGAATGATACCCCAATATGAAATAGAATCTCACTTTGCCCCAAGGTATCTCACGTTGCCCCATAAAAATTGTGGGGGTGGATGGAGGTGGGGGTGGATGGGGGTGGGGGTGGATGGGGGTGGGGGTGGATGAGGGTGGGGAGTGGGGGTGGATGGGGGTGGGGGTGGGGGTGGATGGGGGTGGGGGTGGGGGTGGATTTGATGGGGGTGGGGGTGGGGGTGGATTTGGGTGGGGGTGGGGGTGGTTTTATAAATGCCGTGACTTTTCGTTTTCGCAATAACGCGGGAGTGTTGTAAATGGCGTAAAAACTTGGCAAAATTACAATAACTCAGTTTTCAATTTTCCTAATATCTCAAAAACCAAGCAGAAATTATATTTAGGTCGAGCATTAATGAAAATCTCGAAATTGCTCGGAACGTAAATTTCATTTAATCTGCATAATAATTTGTATAACAAATTTTACAACCAAACTTTCAAAAAATTAGATATTTTATAAAATTTGGGTTAATTATTTCCTTCCAATTTCAGAAATTTTGCACGTTACAAAATTTAGGTGGATTATTTCGTCTCAATTTCAGGAATTTTACACTTTACAAATTTTGGGTGAATTATTTCGTCCCAATTTCAGAAATTTTACACTTTACAAAATTTGGGTGAATTATTTCGTCCCAGTTTCAGAAATTTTACACTTTACAAAATTTGGGTTAATTATTTGCTCACAATTTCTCCTATAATATATACCCACCTGGCAGGCTGACTTTATCCGGGGTCAATCCGTCCTCATGCCACAAACCGAGGACAGCCTTGTCCCCGTAACTTTTCAGTCCGAGATTATTCGCGATGACTGAGGAACGATCGACACAGCGAGACATCGCATCCGCCACAATATTCCCGATAAGACACTGGCCCGATGAGACTTTATCATCCTCGTCGTGGCGACAACTCTCATCGAGACGGAATCCAACCCGACCAACGATTTTGCTTTGGGTGAGATTTCTAATCGCGTTAAGTGTCCGGTCAGTTTCAGGGTCTGTGCAAAAGAATGCATTCGGATGTTTTCAACCTCATAAAATAAAATTCGTAAATCATGTACTTTTGAAATTTGCTAAAAAAATTGCTTTTTCATGCATACTTTGTAAATTATTGAACTTTGTACTTTTGAAATTTACAATTTTTTCAGAAATCTTATTTTTCTATTCATCTTGTTTAAAACATCGTGTTTAAAAAATTGGGTTGAATACCGTGTAAAATAGTCGTATTTGAGCATGTTTATTAGACTATTATATAGGTTCTTTAATATGACGATATTGTTGATCAATGTTTTAATTTAATTTAATTTAATCATTTAATTAATGATATTTAACTTATTTAATTAGAGGACAATTAAAAAGTGTGCTAAAAATTTATTTATGTATTGCATTAACCCGGATTTTTGCAACGCAGTAAATTTGCGACTTATTTAAAAACTTTGCCCTCAAAGACTAATTACGAAGGAAAATCAAGTTACTAATTTTATGAAAAATTGAAATTTTAAAATTTCACGCACAACACGCGCGGATTTAAATACTCGGGCGTAATAAATTGTGATGTGATAATATTAAAGTTAAAAAGTAAGAGTAACACGTCGCATAAAATATTTATGCAGATTTGAATGTTTATTTACAATGCAGGTCGTTCCCACTGGTTGTTGATGAGAAATGATTTTTTGTAAGTAATCACGCAAACCTTTGTGACATTGTCAACTCAGTAAATTATGTAAACTCACAAACTTTTATAAATATTTCGAAAGAAAATTAGCTTCCAAATTTTTGTAAACGTACTCAGATTAAGGGCGTGTTTTTATTTTGTAAAAAAGTTTGTAAAATTATTTTACAAAACTTAAATATGCATTTTAGAAATAACTGCTTGAATTGCCTCATTATGTAATTTTTAATTAGTGACATTTTAAAGAATATTTTGGTTTACTTTGAAAAAGAAAAGTTTAAATGCTTAAATTAAGTCGGATCTTTGTAAATTATTAAATTTCAAATATTTTTACCGTGTTTAGTACAAACTAATGGTAAATTTCGTTACCTGGGTCAAACTCATTCTGCACGAGGGATGCCTCCACTTTGATGACACTTCCGGTCTCATGGTCAATTTGGATGTGCACTCGACCAAGCGTGCCCCCACCCACGCCGGCTGACGCTATAACGCCACCCTTGTACAGAACGTGACCTATGCAAATTAATAGGTCACACTTACTTAATTAACATATTATTCATAACCAGAGGGCGGATATGTATTTATTTTCAACGCTTTCATTTGATCACGACGGACGGTCAAGCTTTGTGAGTGTGTTCTCTAATTCAACTTTTTACACATTTGTTTCAAAAATACGCAAATATTTGATAAATCCATGGAACAAGATTTAGATGGGTAAATCTTTCAAGGATGTGCATGTGGGACGAAATCTTTATCCACAAAAACAGAAATTTTACCACAAAAAAAATCAGAGAATTATGCTCAGAAATACAAATTTTGTGAAAATTCTAAGTTTATGGTTTTGTTCTTATACGACCCGTAAATATTTTACCGTTTTTTTTTACGAATACTAAACACATATTTCCGTGATTTTTCGTAAATACATACCCCCCCTGTCTATAACCTTTGACCTCTTATAAATAAATATGTACCTCCTTTCTCTCCAAAACCTAACGCTTCCCCGGACACGATGACCCCAACTTGCGGCACGGCATCCATAATTTTTCTGCCCAATTCGACCCCGACATCGCCCACGACGATGAAGAATCTTATGGCGGAGGTCGATTCGTGCATCGCCTCCGAAACGACGGCACGAATCGACCCGGTGACCTCGTTGACCTCCAAGTGACCTCGAAGTCCTTTAAAGAAAGGAAGAATGCCCACAATTCCAACGAGAAATTCCAACCCGGTGTCATCCTCGTGGGTGACGTGGGTGTGAAATGGGACCCACTGAATGACTTGGTAGGGACGCGGGTGGACCACATTGCACAAAAGGAGCTTCTCTCCGATCATCACGTTGGATAAGAGGTCAATCCCCATCCGAAGATCAGAGTGGGTCACAGCCTGGAATAAAAAAAACAAGCAGCGTTTCAGGTGCAATAATAAGTAAATTTTACTTTCAATTTTTCGCGTGCCAATTTCACTGCTAAATTTTTCAACACAATAATAAGTAACCACTTGTAAAGAAATAACTGTAAGAAAGTAGCTTTTTGCAGTTATTTTAACCTGCAAGAAATGCAAGTCGCATGAAACTACGCCCTGCCTAGTGGTCTCAACGGTTCTCGGTTCTCATAGAACCGAACCGGAACCGATGGCTCGGTTCGGTTCCGGTTTATACGGAGAACCGAACCGAACCGAAACTTTTATTACCGGTTCGGTTCCGGTTCCAAGTCTTTGAGAACCGAACCGAACCGGCCGGTTCGGGTTGAACCGAACTTCATACATAAATACATTAGCGAAGTTAATCATATTTTCGAAAAAGTTTTACGAATTTCCCGAAATACACATAGTTTCCAAAATGAAATTTTGACGTGGCCGCACTGCCAAAGTTCCCAAAATGAAACTTTGACATGGCCACACCCCCAAAGTTCCCGAAATGAAACTTTGACTTGGTCACACCCCCAATGTTTCCAAAACCAAATTTTGACTTTTATTTGGTCACACCCCCAATGTTTCCAAAACGAAATTTTGACCTGGTTACATCCCCAATGTTTCCAAAACCAAATTTTGACTTGATGACACCTCCAAAGTTTCCAAAATGAAATTTTCACCCCCAAAGTTTCTAAAATGAAATCTTTACTTGGTCACACCCCAAAGTTTCCAAAATGAAATTTTGACTTGGTTACACCCCCAATGTTTCCAAAATGAAATTTTTACTTGGTCACACCCCAAATGTTTCCAAAATGAAATTTTGACTTGGTTACACCCCCAATGTTTCCAAAATGAAATTTTTACTTGGTCACACCCCCAATGTTTCCAAAATGAAATTTTGACTTGGTTGCACCCCAAACTTGGAATTGTTTTCTAACTTCAATAATATATACATAAGTGGTTTTGCTGTTGACACGTATTAGAATTTGCTTGTTTAATACAGATAAGTTTATAGTTCCGAACAGATCAGATAATTCAGATCAGATATCAGATCAGATCAGATAATTGTCAGATCAGATACCAAAAATATCTGATCTGATTAAAAAATCAGATAACAGATCAGATCAGATAGTCAGTCGTAAAATCAGATATCTGATCTGAATTTTTTTCAGATATCTGGTTGTTAGTAATTTTCAGATTCAATCGAGTCAAAACTGCAAGTTTTAACAGAAAAACTGCACTTATAATGTTTGTTAACGTGCAGCCATAATAAACTTGCAAATAGACCAAATTCTTGGTGTTTCCGTTGATTTAAATATCCAGAGTTCGAATACAAATTTCGAATAATACAACTGAAATAATCACAAAAATTGTAGAGTTAGACTGAGGTGATAGGGTTATCTTAAAATCATCGAGGCAATTAACCACAAAATTCTGATTGTTTTACTTCAGATTAGTAACAGTCGTGATTTGCTAGAGGATATAATTATTTTGATGCTTGGGTAATTTAATGTAAAATTATTTTATGATATTTCAACCTCAAATAATAATATTCTTTAGTAGTAACTGCTTTACTATTCCTTTATCAATGTGTGAAAATAAAAGAAGCAAATAAATAATTTAACCTGAAATGTTTTTAGTAGTGTTTGCAATATTGACAATTTTATTTCAGATATCTGATATCTGAACAGATAAATCAGATATCTGAATGTTCAGATCAGATATGACATTTATCTGATCTGAAAATTTCAGATCAGATCAGATAACGATTTTGCATATCTGAAATTTTCAGATCAGATCAGATATCAGATCAGATACACGATTATCTGATCTGTTCGGAACTATAGATAAGTTATTGGCTTATATGTGAAATTTCATCAGAAACACGTCAATTAGCATTGTTTGTTGTTTATTGCATATTAATAACACTACCGGTTTGACCCGAACCGCTGGTTCGGTCACGGTTTGGTCCGGTTCCGGTTCGGTTCCAACTAAAAAAAGTTCGGTTCTGTTTCGGTTCTTCAATTCTGGTTCTCGGTTCTAAACCGGTTCTTCCAAGAACCGAACCGAACCGCACCGTTGAGACCACTAGCCCTGCCGAGCATACTTCATACCAAAGGGCAGGGATGCGTATTTGAGCGTAAGCTCAAAAGCATGTCAATGTGAGCGACACTTTCGTCCGAAGTGTGCAACATTTCAGCCAATCGGGTGAGAGCACCAAACTTTTAAAATGTGAGATTCCGAGTCTCACAACACCCCTCTCAGCACCACTACATGCCTGCTACACAGCTGCCACCTTCCCAGTTTTAACGAAGTTGGAAGCTGTTCTTTTCCTCCGCTGATGGGAGGAGGGCTACACCAGAGTGACAGTCTCACGTAGCCCATTACTGCTTCTAGGTAATATAGTATTACTCCTCTAATTCTGTGCTTCATACAGCGCGTGGCTAGATTTTTTGCAAAAAAAAATTGCAAGAAACTTCTTGCACTTTGTTGCATTTTTTGCGCATTTCTCCCGTTTCTTACTTTGCAATTACAAGAAATGTAACAAATCCGCAAGAAACAAAGCACTTAAAAAATCATGCCAATTTCTTCATGCAAACAAATTATTGCCAATTTCTTTATGCAAAAAAAAATCATTCCCAAAAAAATTACCACTGCCGTCGCACCGAGCCTGTCCCACAGTAGATTTTTCCACAATTTATAATAATCTCTCCGCCACGTGCCATTCGCAGATTTCTCTGCATAAGAAAACAATCCGTCTTCCGGATGGAGAAAATTCCCCGGAGAAAGACGAATATGATTCTTATGATCTTCTTCTCCTTGACGGAGCCCGGTGACCAGCGAGGACAACACGACGCCACGTGACGAAGCAGTTATGGGAACATTGTTCCAGTGCGAAATAACCAGAGACACGTGACCTCTACAAGGACACGGAGCCATGATAATGGTCACTATTATCAAGGTGACGATATACCAGAGGGTGGCAGGCGGCACGGTCAAAGTGGACGAGTTCTTGGTCATCTTCATCTTCAAGTAGGAAAACAAAGCTGTATCGGTGGGACGAATGGTGGTGGTGCGATAGTTTTCGAAGCAGTCTGGCCAGAAAGTAGTGACAGGAGGGGTGACAGACAATCGTCATTTCTGGAGGGACGAAGGAAGGCGATTGAAAAACTGAGCAAAAAGTCAGATTGTCAGTCCGTCTTTTATTTATTGAATGTAAATCATGATGGGTCGACATGTGGTCAATTTCTCAGGATTTAACATAAACATATCGCGAAATTTATTACCATTTTTACAGGTATAATGACACCAGCGTTGTGGCAGGTACATATGTAACACTTGAGAACAACTGTTGTCATTTGGCATTTTATAAGGTCTGACTGAACATTGTATGGGTAAAAAAAATCATCCCACGTTTTCCCCCGACTTTGGAAGAACTTTAACCATTTAAAAAATACCGATTTGCAATTTTTTTATCGGTCATGCCATGTCATTATTTGGTCAGACGTCTCATTATTATGCAAGCATGATGAGATGACATGATACATTTTTATATGCAGAACGTGAGCAGTAGCGTCCACTTGACACTGACCAACTGTTTATTACACACACATATATATTTATATACACTCACGCATCTGTCTTTCTCAATTCAATATGTACATACTTGACACGTGTATGCCAATTTATTTTTGCACATGCAGAAATTACTTGTGTGGTATTTATTTTCGGATCGTCTCGATAAGTTATTATTCGGATAATTTTATGTGTTTATGCAACAGTAAGAAAATGGAAATTGATAAATTGCGACAACAATGATAATTACTCTAAATTCGCATTTCTCGCATTCTTGACCCCTTTATACGTCCTCATGACCTTCCTCGACATCCGGTCGGCGTTCCTCCTACAAAAAACATTATTAACTTCCAAAACAAAAATGTGCAAAATTCACAATTTCTTAAAAAACGCAAAAATTTGCAAAATAAAAAAAATCACATTTTCCCAAACCCTTTCAACCCCCCTCCATTACTGGTCCACCAACGCGACGGCATTTCTGCAAAGGGTGTCTTCATTCTCCCCTCGAATAAGTCATCTTTTACCACGTCATGACCTTTGACCTCGTGACCTCTGACCTCACCACCTCCTTCCTCCTCCGTCGTAAAGAGACACTGCCCCGTGTCAAAATTCCTCTGCGAGTTTCCCCTCGGACATCGATACGGGACACAAATTCTTCCCCGGATATGGTAAAAATGTGTCTCCTCACACTCTCCATCGTCCTCCTCGGTCGAATAGCCCCATTCCACTGGGTAATAATCCTCCTCCTCCAGGAAACCACGACCCGGCGTGGATGCGGCGTCAATGTCGATAATTCCACCATCTTCCTCCCCTGGAGAAACTGCAATCACACGAAATCAAGAGAAGGACGGCGAGAATCGGGCCAAAAAACGGTAAGGAACTTAGCTACCGGTCATTATCGACGCCGCCACCAAGGAGGATGACGACCCCACGAAAAATATGACCACGACGACTCGTACCCACCACATTTTGCTGACTTCAGATCAACTCCACACTGCTGAGCGATCTCTCGCAAACTGTGCCTCTTTTTTTGCACCAAATGGAAAGAAACCGTTGCCAATTTCTGCAAGTTGACGTATGTACAAAAAAAGTGGGACATCCTCATTAAAAATTTATGCGCATTGCATCAATAAAGTGACGGAGATGATGAACAACAACTAATTTACATAAACCCGAGTCATGCACAAGTATAAAATTGACGCAATTAATTAATGTCGTCGAGGGCGGATTGGATGGATGGTTAATAGGAAAAAATAAATAAGTCACGAGTCTTCTCGAAAATAGATACGCAGTGGAAAATAAATCACAATTTTTATTGTCTGGATAGGGACACGTCTCTGTAAAACGTGGCGACGAGCCCGGTCTTCTTCTTGTTATCCGTGCAGGATGGTACCGCACTGGGGAAATTGCACGCTTTGATTTCTGGATCAAAGACTAACCCGTGTGCACAGCTTTGCACGTGCTTCTTGTACTCACCGTTCCCAAGGGATTGGCAAATTAGGAAGGTCGAGCAGTCAGATCCGTTCGGTTGGATGGGGTCGTCCCCGGTGCATTCGCCGTTATTGGATTCGATGGGGGTCGAGGTGGTGGTTCGCTTGGGAGGACGGGGTCGTGCCGGGCGAACGGTGGTGGTGGGCTCGTCGACGTCGATGAGGTTGTCTTCTTCGTCGGGAATTGAGGCGGGGGTGGTTTTTCGTGGGGGACGCGTCCTCTTGGGGGAGGGCGACGTGTGGTTGTGGGTTCGTCTTCGGCGTCGATGATTTCCTCCTCGTCGGGAGAGAGGGTCGTGGTGCGACGTGGGGGGCGGGTTCGCTTCGGGGGAAGACGGGTGGTAGTGGGGTCGAAGTAGTCGTCAGGTTCTGGGAGGGAAGGGAAGTGAGAAGTTGTAATAATTGGAAGATATGAGATATGCAAATTTGTATGTACCAGTTGTTGTGAAGATGTCACTTCCTCCGGTATTGTCGTCACCCGCGACGATCTGTGGCCTCTCTGGGAGTGAAGGTTTCCCTCCGCCCGCCATAGTTTTGACGATCGTATTGATCAAAGGATACTTCTGGTTGTGACAGAAACCTCGGAAATCGTCAGTTTCAATTGACCAGACCATGGCGCCGCCTAGGCCGAGATTACGGGCGAATTTAGCCTAAAGACAGAATTTTATTACAAAATTTGTAACCTGACCAAAGGAAAGTTTTAATTAATTAATTACCTTGACATACAAACTTTCCATGTCGTCATAGCCCACCCACATGTTCTCCTTGTACGCATATGGGGCTTGAATGTAGGGATCGATAACAATTCGCCAGTCAGATCCTTCACTTTTGAAAACTTCGCAGATCTTAACAAGGAAAAAATGGCACGTTAATGTTATGTTAATCAAACATGTAGGCAATTAGCACAACTACGTTTATAAAATTTCCGTACCTTTCTCTATCACTTGAGTTTGGCCAAAGTTTCAGGAGACAATATGAAAAATCGGAAATATTGACCAACTCTAGTGAAGTTACGGAAATTGTAAAACGTGGGTTTGCTAACTGCCCATTGTAACCCTTGACCTGACCTCATTATACCCCCAGGTTCCATCCTGTCTCGTATACGGTCCCATTTTCAATCCTTCCTTGGCCGGAGCGTACAAGCCACGTAGGGTTGGATCGTCCAAAGTGAACCCACGCCCGTACAGGGCCATCCCCATGTTGATCTTTTCCTTCGGTAAGCCCTCCTCGAGCCAGTAGGTCAACGTGTCATTCTGCGGTCACAATAGAGGTCGTGATTAATTTGAATAATCCAGTATTAAAATAATACCAAGCGGTATTCATATATGACATGACTACCAAACTGGCATTGGTAAGTAATACCGTGTAGTAAGTAATAGCTAGGTATTCAAGTTTTACCATATCGATCGGTAGCAAATTTTTACGGACCGGTATAATTTTAACACCAAGCGGTAGCAACTTTAATACCGAGAAATCAATACCGAGACATCAATACCTTCCTGACTATACCAGTTTTCTAACAGTGTAATAATGACGTGACCACACACATTTACATTATATAAATTACATACCACATTAAAATGCGGGATATACTTTTCATCCGCCGGACCACGGTAGAGGGGCGTGTTATGTCCCGTGTAAGGATGACCCTCCCACGCGCCGTGGTAGTCGTAGCACATGACCGAAACGAAGTCGAGGTCTCTGCGAGAAAGAAAGTAATAATTCGTCACATTTGTATTTTTCGTCACTTCCGGTTTTACTGCATACCATACCTCGCCAGCACAGGGACGTCATAAGCATCCGCGACCGTCTCAATGTTTGGTGATACAGCGGCTGTAAGGAGGTATCGGGATCCGAGGGCTTGTCGTAACTCAGTGACCAAAGTGGCGAAATTTTCTTTGTCTTCCGGTTTTCCTCCGCGGGTCGTTGGGTATTCCCAGTCTGAAGTGTTAATTATTAATTAATTAATAGTGACGATAATTAGTTAGAATTTAAATACTTACCCAAATCTAGCCCGTCGAAATCGTACTTTTTCAAAAATGGGATCACACTATTGATAAATGTTTTCCTCGTGGATGAACTTGACGCCATCTGAGATATTTTTACAAAAAAAATATAAAAATTTTACAAAATGCAGATGGATAAGCATAAATTTGGAGTTCGGATGTTCATAAATCTGTTAGACAGTTAAATAATGGTGATAACTGTACATCCGAATATTTTGGGGAGCCTTCATTCTGCAATAATTCAAAAAATTGTCATATGTTTGACATCATCTTCATTATCTAAGCCACTTCCGGTTACAAATTATGCTTACCCATCCTCCAATTGCGATAAGAACTTTCAGCTTGGAATTGCGCTGTTTCAACCCCGTCGCGCGAAGATATCCACCTGCGTTGCCATAAACATTTAAAGACAACCGTCACACATATATCAAAAATATAATGATAACAACGCACCCTTCCCCCAATTATCCTTGAGATCCTCCCACGGGTCGTAACTCCTAATTTCATTTTCTTCCAGCTTCGCGAATCCATAAACCAAATGAGTGCAGAGATTGGGGTTGATATCCTCCACGACGAATTTTCCCCGTCCGGGACGATACACTGCCCAAGCGCCGTAGTAACACACCATCCTCTTCTCCGCCCCCGCGACGAGAGGGGGCGACACCGCCATCATGGCGATGACGACGGCGACGACGACACAAAGTAACGATGTCTGCATCCTGTCCGACTAGAAGAAGAATCCTTGCTGATGCCTACTCCTCGCTTTTATAGGAAAGTCTGGTCTGGTTTATCGCCAAATTGTATTATATTTGCAAATGAGTGCAATTTCTGTGATAATTTTTCCAATTAATCGGGCATGAACACCAGCGATCCAGTTCCCTTGTGCATAGTGTGCATTATTCCAAGGTCGAGTGAAGAAGAGTTAATTTAATTCACTTCTGTTATTTTGTTCGCCACTATTTTTTTTATTGATTTCGCAATGTCATGATAATCCGCAACTGGGAGAAAATAATTGTCTACAAAAATAAGTCGGACTTAGTTAATTAATTATTGATACAAATATCCAATCTAAATTAATTATTGGTTTGTTATATAGTCAACTAGATTGTGACGTGACTAATTATTTTTTACGGCTGCATCCTAATTGCACCGTCTAATCGGATCGTTTCCCCGTTGAGCATGGGATTCGCCACGATTGACTCGGCCAGCATGGCGTATTCGTCCGGAAAGCCGAGCCGTTGCGGAAATGGGACCGTGGTGGCTAAATATTTGCGTACTTTTTCGGGAAGTGCGAGCAGTAATGGGGTTTCGAATAGACCTGAAAAATAGAGAATTAGTTAGTTGTAGTATCTATAATTTACAGGTAAGATAAGCAGGGGTGGGCAAAATGGGTCAAAATACAGTATTTTGACCTCCGTTCTTCCCAGGGTTTGGATTTCCAGGGATGTTACACCAACAAAAAGATGAGAATCTACATCGAGGACACAACAGTAGCATAAAAATACAGGGTTTGTGAAGAAATTAACCTTAAATTAACTTTTTATCGGTGTCAAATTACTGTATTTTACAAAAAAAAGCGAAAACAGTATATTTTGACGGCGATAAAAAGTTGATTTCACCACAAAACCTTATTTTCGTGCTACTGCTGTATTCTCAATGTAGATTTTCGTCTTATTGTGGGTGAACACCCCTGGAAATCCAAGAACGGAGCTCAAAATACTGTACTTTGACAATTAATTTTGCCCACGTCTCAAGATAAGTGGATCTTATCATCTACCTGGTGCAATCGTACAGACCCGAATCCCTTGAGATGCCAGGTCTCTCGCGATGGGCAACGTCATCCCGACAATGGCACCTTTCGACGCGGAATAAGCCGCCTGACCCATCTGACCGTCGTATGCGGCAACGCTCGCCGTGTTGATGACGACGCCACGTTGACCATCCGAGTTGGGTGCGTTCGCCCCCATCAGACCGACAGAGAGACGAATCACGTTAAAAGTTCCGACACAGTTTACCTAAAACAATGAATAATCAGGAATTAATTAATTATATTCATTAATAATGAAAGTTGATAATTAATTATTGTAATTGCGAGTAAAACGTAATATCCTCGTACGTCTAATGTTCTCTGGAAATCTTCCAACTTGTGGGCAACGTTCTTGTTGAAATTGTACGTTTTGAAGGCGACCCCGATCCCGGCGCAGTTTACGAGCACGTCTAATCGACCAAATTTACTTTTACAAGCTTCCAGCGCTTTGGTCACGTCAGCCTCGGATCGGACCTGGTTAAAAATTTATAATTTTAAGACAAATTAAACTATTGCTTAAATAATTAATACAAAATATGAATTGTCCTTACATCGGTGGGACAAAAGACTGCATTGTCCTTGTTCTGATCCGCCAATTCGGCCCCAGTGGAACTTGGCAAATCACAAATTACCACTTTCGCCCCATTCTTTAGAAATCGCTCCACCGTTGCGCGACCCAGACCCGAAGCGCCGCCAGTGACGAGGGATACAGCCCCCTGAACAATTAGTTTAATAATCCAATTAAAATATTTCAAAAATCAACATTTCTTTTCTTCTTTTACTCTTACCTTAAGTGCACCTGCCATACTCATCTTATCGCAGTTTTATCGTCAATATGTCAAGTAACGTGTGATAAATTACTGTTTAATTGATGGTTACTAATTAATTGATGAGGAATGAGGATAATTTTAAATTAAAAATTAAATGCCGGTGGTGGACTATGATCTGTGCACTGCTGAGTAGATAATGCTGGATGGCGGTGTGTTGGGGCAGTGTGGATTGATTTTGTGTTCTCATCGGAAGAACAGGACAGAATAATAAGAACATGATAAGAACAGAGGACAATTAAGTTTGCATAACATGAACATGATAACCTTAATACACCAATTAAGAAACATATATAAACATATATAATTTGATTCCCTATCTCCTAATTAAAACTTTACCAATTTAAATAATCCAAAATTCATACAAATGGCATGCAAATCATTCAATTTAATTATTTTGTAAATATTTACAAATTAATTAATTAGATCCGATTAACGTTCGGATTTAAGTTAATGATAGCTCTATTTACAATAGTTCGACTTCGGGTGGAACGCTCCACATTTGTAGAAGGTTCATGATTTCGATAAGATGATGATGACGAGCGTTTGTGGCGTGGCATCTTGGAGTCATGCTTATCATCATAAAATTGAAACTCTTGCACGATATCTTGCTTAATAAATTCATCGTGTCGTTTTTGTTGTCGCTTTTCTAGTTTTTGCCCTTCCGGTTCCCCTTGTTTTTGGAACAGGTGAAACTCAACGGGTGTAAATTTTCGTGAAATCATAGTTTTTGAAGGATCAGGACTAATAAAAAAATTAATAATAAGCATCCTTTAACGGAATAAAATAAATAAATGATAAGATAAGTTCTGTCACGTGTCGGTTACGTGATAAGGTTCGCCTTCTCTAAATCGATAACTTGCTGCGCCACGCGAGCAATGAAGGTCTTAACCTCGTCACGTAATCGGGTCGGGTCGTCTTCGATGTTCACAGCGACGTGATGACTTCGAGGAGGGACGCCTATGCAAAACAGGAATTAATTAAGATAAGACCCAACTTAATTGATAAGCCAAGAAGCATACCTACGACTCTTTGCGGCCCATGTTCGGCCGATCCTCGAAATTTGTTACCGATCAGGATACATTGCGCCGGGGTCAATCCGGTGGGTGAATGGGTCACCTATTTAATCAGGGTCAAAATTTATTTTACCAACTTGCGCCAATGTTATAGCGTGCGCAAGTTACTGAAAAATTAAAAACCGACCCAAGACATGTAATAGGTCGACGCCTCCCGAACGCTGGCTTCCTTTCCGACATCATACAACACGATAACGCCATCCAACCCCCACTGTACTCCGGGCCAGACCATTTTCGTTCTGGGGCAAAAATCAAAATGGAAATTTTGAAATGGAAATATTAAAAAAATTTGAAACCTAATAATTATGTAAATACATACGACGGATCTCCTCCAACTTCCCAGAGTTGGACATCCACATCCAACGTGTACTTGTGGAGGGGGAGCGAGGAGCAGGTGAATTCTATGATGCGGACAGAGTGGGTGGGTCGATAAGGTGGTTTGTTACCTTCAACGCCACCCTCGGCGCCGAGAATGTTGGCGACGAAACTTTTACCGCACTGGAAATAAAATTAGAATTTGTGTATGTATAATTTTTAAGAAATTTTGAAATTTTAGGTTCAAACTTACACCGGAAGATCCCACAATTCCGATTTTTAGCTTCATAATATTATGAAATAAATTATTTCAAAACTCGATTTCTATTTCTGTCTGAATTTTATTTTATTTTTCTGTAAAAAGTTTCGGTACAAAAAACGTGTCAGCAAGAAGGCAGAGATTCTTCCGTGAGAAAGGTAACCTGGCTACGAGGGCACAACAGTATTTACCACGTGCAAAAATGCATGCAATTCATGTTCGCTAAATATTTGCAAAAGTATAAAAGTTCCGTATAAAAATGGTTACTTATTAAAATTATGTAAATTATTACACCGTAATTATTAGTTAATTAATGCTAATTTGTTATTTGTGTTGGCACTTGCATTCACCAAAAGTTAATTAATTTGTGTATTAATCGTTACAAAAATATATTTAGTTAAAACTTAATTATTGTCATCATTCATTCATGTCAAGACGCAAATAAATTACTTAGTCTTTCGATACGTATGTAAAACAACTCGTAAAAATATCACAAATCATTCCTTACAGCACAACCATCATTACTCACTAATTAATTAATTAAGTAACTAATTAATTAACTTAAACCAGCAGCATCCATCCCGCAAAAACTGTCACGATCACGCTACTCGTCATTAATCTTGGTCCAGAACTATGCGCTGCTGCGATGGCTCTCTCGTCCACTGAACGACACGCCCCCACAGCTTCGACATCTGCGATGCTTGGTGCTCCAAAACTCTGTGAGGTTGAGAGGTTCGGAAGGACGCAGATTTGTCGCGATCCGTCCGGCATGTCGATACCCCCGAGGCGAACGTGGTAGCCAAACATGGCCGTGTGCAGGATGACATTGTCTCCCACGGCGGTCACGATAAAGCCGAGGATGTCGCGTTTCGATTTTACTCGCCATCTAAAATAAAGTAGAAAATTATTGGACACCAAAATTTACAGAAAATCAGGAAATGCAGGCTATAAAATTTCCATTTGATAAGTTTATTAAGAAAATTAAGCACTTTAACGTAGGATTCAATAACTCATTGCCAAAATCGACACATTTTTAATCATTTCTCCGCTCTAGGAATTCATTTTAAAATTCATGACAAATTTGTAGTCAGTGAGTTGATTAATAGAATGGCCGTTACTCTTTAAGAAGCAAGTTTCGATTAGTTCCCATTTTTCTGAAGGCTGCTTAAATTTGAAATCTCCTCTTTCGAAAACTGTCAAAATTTGGAGTGTATCTTTTTGAAAAGATTGGCAACAACCTGATCTGCGGTGCAGAATTTTGAAATAAATTCCCAGAGCTGAGAAATCATTAAAAGTGTGTCGATTTTGGTGATGAGTCATCGCACCTTATCTGCACATGTCTCCCATCTTGCAGCACCGTCCTGATTTCGACATCTCCTTCCCTCCCAATTTCCACCCTTTTCGCTAAAGGGTCATCACTATAATCGCAAATCAACCTTGATTCCTCCACATTGCTCAATTTCACTCTTTCCTCGCCCCCATCCGCACCCCCACTGTTGCTCAAGATGCACTCAAAGTTATCAAAATCTCGGAAAAACGCTTCACTCCGATTACTCAACTCTTCCCTCTCCCTCGTAAAATATCTCTGCAGCGGAATCAGCATACAATCACAATTTAATGGATTTCCTCCCAGTAAAATTCGACTCCCATTGGTTTCAATCTTATCGCCAAATTCGGGAGCAAAGTGTCGTATCCGATTTCTCTGGAGATTGATGAACGTCAAGTTTTTCGCGAGGGGGAGGACGTCCGTGGGGAATTTTCGTAACGAGTTGTCCTCCAGGTTGAGAGTTTTTATGGCGGGGGGCGGTCCGAGGGAGACCGGTTCGAGAAAGTGGAGTGAATTGTGGGATAAATCGAGGTCCTCGAGAACCGCGAGGTGATGGAGGAGGTTCGGCTTCACGTCGGATATCTGGTTGTGCGAGAGGTCGAGTGAGATAAGGGTGCGGGTCGTGCCTCGCAGGATTTCTCGGGTTATTGCGGGTAACCGATTGTGAGAGAGGTTGACGTGGGCGAGTTTGTAGTTGGTCCATTCCTGAAGAGAAAAGTGAAATGAAATATATTTTTGTGGGGAGAATTTCTTAAAAAATGGTGGTACAAATTTCAAAAACTGAGAATAGAGGTCTCCTAGCGTATGCTCACAGATTTTGACCAATTAGTGTCAATCAATCACAAATTTAATCAATATGAAAATTGGAAAAGGTACGATCTCCTAATGGTCAGGTTTGTCAGAGATATTTGCAATAATTTGCATACGAGGAGGATAAAACGCGTACTAAATTTGGAAAGTGTAACAAAGTAAAAACTTTAAACGTATCAGTTAAAATCATATCGTTAATCGTTAATTAAAATCAGTACAATAATTCACATTCGAGAGTCGACACGTCTTATCTATTAAATTACTAATTTAAGTTAATCATCCACCAAAAGTTATTATTGGCACTTGACTTATTCAATGTTTTGTTAAATGTAAGTTTTCCATTTCATAAGACTGCACAGTCTTATGACACATGTCATGTGTGGTGTTTAATTTCATTTCTCCGCAGTACTATATATTTTTGTATGTGCAAAATTTCACTACTTCAGGGCGTGTGTTCTCCTTTTCGGATACAAATATCTCTGTCAAAACTGCACATTGGAAGAACGTATCTTTTGCTAATTTAATATTAGTTTGATCAAAATCTGAGAGCATACTTTGAGATACCTCTATTGTGATTCCTCCTAAAAACTAGACAATTTTTACCAAAATTGACCTCGGTTTATATAATACCTGTTGGGGAAAAGTTTTCGTAAAAATCGATGAAATCCAGTTGAACGACAAGTCCAGCGTGAGGAGAGAGAGAGCGTCCTCAAACAAGGAATTTGTCCCATTTTCCGTACGTTGTATCGCATTATGGGAGAGATTTAAGGTCCTCAGAGACACCAGATTTGCTAACGCACCAGCTGTAAAAAAATCAATATTTATGTTAAACTTCTAATTTAAATCTTCGTTAGACGCGTGGGTTCGATCTCTAGAACAAACATAGAAACGCATTTGTCGGGACGCATTTTTTAAGATCTCGTTAATTTTTCGGGATTTATTTTCCCCGTTTAAAATAAAACACAAATCGAACCCACGCTTTGACGCAATCAAATTACCAACCTGGAATATTCGACAACTTGTTACTGCTTAAGTCCAGATGTAACAATTGGATCAGCCCTTCGAACGATTTTGGTGCCATGGTCGAAATATTGTTGTTATTCAACAGCAAGGTGAACACGACGGGCAAACGACCAAAAGCTGCCTTCTCAAGGGATGAAATTCCGTTATGAGAGAGGTCAATGTGTTGACACGTCCTTAAGTCGGATAGAGCTTCGATGGGAATCTGAAAAAATGGAGACTTTATAAAATCCTGCAACAATTTCACATTTCATTTTTCTCCGTTTTTCACACCCACCTCGGAAATGTTGTTGTGTGCCAAGTTGATTTTTGCGAGGGCGGCTAAACCGGAAAATGAGCCCCCCTCTAAATTCCCACCGAGCTGGTTCCAGCTTAAGTCGAGGCGTTGAAGGGCGTTCATCTGTGGCCAGGCTTTGGCGAGACTGGTAATCGAATTGTGGGAGAGGTCGAGATCGTTCAAACTTCCAGGAATCTAGACACATGAATAAATTACATAAGGGACAATTCTCGTCAAGCTTTGTAAACTTTGCAAATTTTGAAGTGAAGTTAAAAACAAATTAAAAGATACGAATGTGTCTAATGCTTGTATAAATTGATTTTTACAAAATCGCATAGTTTACAAGCAGACAATTCACGAGAAGACTGTTGAACTGTCCAAATTTTAGAAAGTTACAAAGTCTGATCTGAATTCATGTTCCCAAATCAATTATGTAAATCTATGCAAATTAGTACAGTTTACAAAACTTCTGTGCACTTCATTCCGCTAATTTTCTTACCTGTGACACTTTCGTCATATTATTATGCCCGAGGGAGAGCACTCTTAACGACACCAATTTCGTAAACGCCGCATTGCTCACGACCTTCAGCTTGTTATGGTCCATGTAAAGTTCTAACAGCGTGGGCATCGTGCCTAGCGTGGATCCCGTTAATTCCGACATATTGTTGTACCTTTACGATAAGAAATACAAATTAAATTCAAAGTTTTTTGACCAAAAATATTTACGCAATTAGCCCGGATATGTGTAAATTCTGTAACTTTACAAAAATCCGAGCGAACAGCATAATTATATTTTTCCTCACCTCAAATCGAGCAACCTCAATCCAAAAATATTTCCGAACACGGAACTGTGAATCTTGCTCAAATTATTGTGCGAAAAATCTACCGTGTGCAATTCATACAGTTTCGGAAACGTGTTCCTTCCAACTTCACGTAAATTGTTGTAGCTCACGTTCAATATTCGTAACGGGATCATAAACTTAAGCGGAATATCGGTCGTTAATTGGAGCAGGTTGAAGTCTAGGCGCCACTCGTCGGCGTAACTGTTCTCGTCAAATGCACCTCGTGTAAAGTTGGTGAGAAGGTTGTGGCTCATGTCGAGGACCTGGGTACAAAAAAAAACATATCAAGAAGTTCGAAAAAATTCTTGTTCGTCGAAAATTTTAGATTTGTCTTGTTGTGTCGTGATGCAAAATAGTGTGAGGGAAAAACATTAACGTAGGACTCGTTAACGAGTCCTACGTTATGCGCTGATTATGGTGACGAGTCAATTGACTCGTCACCATAATCAGCACATTTTCAATCATTTCTTGGCTCTGGGAATGCATTTTATAATTCTGAACGATAAATTTATAGTCAGTAAGTTGATTAATTGAACTGAGGTGAGTTTTTAAGCCAGTTTCGATGAGTCCTAATTTTTCTGAAGGCTTCTTTTTTGATATCAAAAACTGTCAATTTCTGGAGTATATCCGTTGAATAAATTGACAATTTGCTCTACAAAGTCACGATTATGAAGATTTTGTCGTTGAGTCACCCAGTCCCCGTTAAAATATTGCTCAAAATATGAAAAAACTGACCGTAATATTCACACAATTCGTAAAAGCCTCCTTTTCCACTTTGCTTAACGCATTGTGCGAAATGTTAACCAGCGTTTGGGTAAACTCGTTAAACGCGCCAGCCTTGATTGTCGTAATGTTATTTTCCTGAAGGAGGATCTCCTCGCAGAACGGAAGCTTGAGAAACATTTGGAAATCCACGAGGGTCAAACGATTCCGAGAAAGGTCGATCGTTTTAATACGTTGCAGCGAGTTGAAGGCGGCGCGACCGACCTGACGAGGATAAAATTTTGATCATAATTTAATTAATTTCGTTAATTAAGTAATTAAATCACCTCCGTAATTTGGTTGTCACTCAGGTAAAGTCGAACCAACAGTCGCATTCCACGAAACGCGGCCGCATCGATTTTCGTAATTTTGTTATGCGTCAAATAAATTACTCGGAGGAAGCCGTTTCTTGCAAATGCGCCCCGTTTGAAGTCGGGGATATCGTTGTGCGATCCGTTAAACCAGGTCAGTTTGTTCAAATGGACGAAATAAGTGGGGTCCAACTTATCCCAAGAGTTGTAAGAGACGTCGAGATACTCCAAATTTTTTAAGTTCTGAAAAAAAATGAGAGAAACGTTGCAATTTTTAATTTTCGGTATTCACTCGTCAACTTTGTAAACTAGATTTTAGGAAGAAAACAGTTGAAAGGCTAATTTTTAAAATTTTCAAAAACCAGAATGTTTAAAGTTTTATAAAATTCCACAGAAAAATTCTCAAAGAGCTATTTTACTTTACTAAAATGTGTCGGTTTCTAAACCAGATTTGCAAAGTTTACAAAGCCGACGTGATATTAAACATTGATTTTCCAAATCGTATGTAGATTAGATTGCTGTTTATAAGTTTAATAAGTTTGTAAACTTTGTGTGAATTCAAATTCACCTGAAAAGCATCTTTGGGCACTCCCTTTAATTTATTCCCGTGCAGGTCAAGTCTCGCCAGTTTAGCCCCCAGAGCGGAAAATGTTTCCTTTCCAAACGCTGAAATATTTCCGTTCGACACGCGAAACTCCTTGAGCAGGGGGAGACCTCTGATGGGGACGTTAAGATGGGAAATGGCATGACCGTCGAGGACGAGTCTCTCGAGCAGGTCAAGCTCGGCGAATGCTTCGACTGGAAATTCGTCCAATTTGGTGTCAAAAAGTTCCAATTCCCTTAAAAATAAATAAATAAACATTAAAACTGATTAATTATTTCTTAAATAAACATATTTTTAATTTGACAACTAATTATAAATCAATTTCTTTCAACTACTCCAAAATTCTACGATAAGTTACGAAATAAATCGAAACTTTCGAAATAAAGGAATTTCCAGATACTAAACTAAACCAACTTTCACTTAATAAGTGTCGTACAGTTTTTTCTTATTTCAAAATTTTAAGATAATTTCGAAATAAATCAAAACTTTCCAAATATCTAAACTAAAGACCACTTTCACTTAATTGTCGACACAGTTTTCGTTCACCGTTAACAAACTCCTTCAATTATTCTAAAAAACAGAACAAAAAACACTCCACCCACTTCAATGTATGCCTCGTATTGAAGAACACATCAGAATAAATCTTTTCCAACTTTGGCGAATCCTGAATCCTTATCCGAGTACAGTTCAGCTCGTTAAAAATCGGTCCATACAATTTTTTACTGTTTAATCTCGTCACGTTGAGAAAATTGATGGGGATTTTTTGCCCCACGGGATACGCCATGGCGGCCGAGAGGGTGGCGAGAGAGACCTTAAAATAAAAACAATTCATTCAAAATTCTATAAAATTTTATAAAATTGTCCACCCTTTTCCTTACATCTTTGCAATCCAACGAGATCCCCAAATCGGACGGGGTGTGGCAAACACACGGCCAAACGTGCGTCGCCGGGGGACACTTCCATTTCGGACCGGGGGGAATATACACCCCCACCACGACACCCACCGCGACCAGTAATACGAAAACTAATACTTTTTCACTCATCATCTCCTTAACTGAAATGTATAATAATTTATTATCAAAAATAAGAAGAGGAACAAGAAGAGCCGTTCTGTATTTAGTGAGGTGATGAAAATAATAATGTCCAAAATCCACACCCACGCAGAACCTTGACTCCCACCCACAACAGACATCTAAAATCCAGCGAAATCTTACAATGTTTTCATTTTACGACTTACGGATTAATTTCTTCGGATTCCTGGGACAATGTGGGTCTTGATTTGATTGACATCTCGGTCAGGTGACGATGACCATGGCGTCGTTGTCGTCGTCGATAAGACAAGGACACTTTCTCTCTTTACTATTTTTACTTAATTAAATGTAGCAAAGACTTGAATACTGCCATAAATGACCCAAATCCTTCCCATGTTATTCTTGATACAGTTTTTAATGTACGTAGTGAATGCAACAGGTAGAAAGTGAAGGTGGATTGGTGGTGGTGGCTGCCAGGTAAAATTTCTCTTTGTCTGCAAAAGTTTATGGCTACTAAAATGCGTAATAAGCTGGGATGTGCAAAATATTTTTGCAAATAATAATACATGCGTGTATATTGAATGCAAAACAATTGTCTGCACTTGTACATGCATATTTTTATTTTCCGCAAACTCAATTTGACCCATTTATTGTACAGATTTTACATTTTAATGCGAATAAAATTATAAAAATGAGGTTTATGTTAAAAGTAACTACCCGGAAATGTATTTAATTTTTCCCGTCGGGAATAATTAACTGATTGCGACAGAGTCGAAAAATCTTGGAGGATCAAGTTGGGGTTGTCTTATAGTAATGGTGATGATGAATTGTCCTAAAAAACACGTAATTTTATTGCCAAAATATTCTAATATATACATATGTAAATGCACGAATTTGACAGAATTTAAGGCTTGAGAATTTGAAAATTTGGATAGGCGATAGGGGGCACACTTACATGAGTGTAAACTTACATATTTATGTGTATATATGGAAAAATTACGGGGAAACTTGCAGAGAAGATAAAACTGGGTAGAACCTGGAGGGACAAACTTACACCTCCAAATCAATATAGGAATTCGAATCAGTTTAAAAGTGTTTGAACCGACGTGCGCTCATCGTTTCGCCTTTTTGGTCCCTTCAAGTCCACACTCTTTGATCAAGTCGACGCCTGACTTGGCTCTAATTCCCATCGCAAGGTGCTCAAGTGGTGTAACAGGGGAGGGTTCAAGCGAAGGGGGTGAGGAATGCGGACTGGAATTTATTAAAGAGAAATTCCAGCCACATAAATTATCCTATGAATCAAGCTGCATATTTCATAGCGTCAAAATAATACTTACATGTAACTATTTGTAGTGGATGAAGTTGAGCAGGCTTCCAATTCCCTACACCCAGTTAAATGCAAAAATGTGATAGTCCAGGGTCCCTACTAAGTCCTCCAAGTCTTCTCACACACCGCAAATTATGTCAATAATTTCAAAACTTGACCACACTTTGCAATGGAGAAGCACAAAGTTTTATTACGACTACCGGTTCAAAGTTTTAATGTTGCTGGTACAAATGGTAGATTGCTTCTGAGCTTTTATGCATTCAAACATACAAATATAAGTACACGGTTGTAGTCCCAAAAACTGACTGACCAATCACGAACAAGGGTCAAAAAGGTTCACTTATACAAATAAACTCACTTAAAATAATCTTAAAACTACAAATTAACTCCAGACTTTCTGGCACGTTGACTGAAAAATCGAACTGACTACAACATGGACTGAATACCGCATAAAACTTGACAAAATGAGACAAAATTGCATACTGAAAACTCAAGATTAAACTTACATACTACACATGTTAAAATGAGACAATGCTCTCAACCTTCAAATTAGGGTAAAAATGATAAAATGAGCATAATGCAAAATTAAAATTATTCTGTCGGCGACACTATTGTTGCTTTGGCTAACTATTTGGTCTCTCATTGATGAGTTTGTTAGCGTCCCGGAATTATTTCCTACATCATGGAAATTGTGATGAATAGCTTAGCAAAAAATTTACAGTTTCTAAAACTTTGTAAGTCTTACCAATTCCACTGGAACTGGCCACAGCGCCAGCATGGTGACGTTCCACATTTGCCTCCGCTGTAAAACGAAGAACGCCATCAGAGTTATTAGCACTCACGAATAAAATAATAAATTACATAAAAATGTGTCGCATAATAGTTACCTATTAGATCTTTCTCTATGTGATTTTTTGAGGTGTATAAGGCCTGCAGCTGAGCTATGAGATTTTTCTTTGTGCTAATCCGTAGGCGAATTTGTCTAACGTCATTTTCCATTTTCTCAACTTCCTCTGCAAGGTGAACGATAGTGCTTCCTGAAATTAAGCAATACTCGTAAAAAACATTACCAAAGCTTTGATACCCCTACATCTTCTCGTATAAAATAATTTAAATTGTTCAAGCCGAATCTGTGGACACTTTCTGGTAAGAAAAACTTTCTGGTAAGAAAAACTAAAGTCCAAAATAAGCAGGAAAAATAAGCATATGCAGATTTATGGGTCAATTAGGAATTTGTGATTTTAACAAATTTCTCAACTTTGTATTTTATTAGATATAGGAAATTCGTTAAATAAAACTCACGATATACCGTTGCTTCGCCTCCTAGTTCCATGGTTTAGTTAGATTTATACGATCTGCTAAATAATTTTACTCCACAATAAGTTGCAAATCGAAGCTTTTATTTAAAATGTCGGAGCAAAAAAGAATAATGCGTCTTATCCGGTTAGTCCCGAACACCACGTACTGACTGGAAATTTAGGCGTTTTTTCTCAGTGCAAGGAAATAATTAAGTTATCGTGCAGTGTTGGACGGTATCGAAAGGCTCGGACCTTCATTAATGTCAACCTTTTTGATCTCATATGTACATATACGCTTAATCTTCCTATCATTTCAGAAAAACTCCCCTTGGGAAAGTATGAGTATGACTACTTGCGTACATATTTATAAATTGTAGATTATAATTAGAAAGGACCAGAATAAAGCTTGAATGCCACCAAAAACTCATACTCTTCCTGGAACAAGGGTTGGATTCAAAGAATGAAAAAAAAACGCCTGGAATTTTTGGACAAAAATTAATATTTTTACATATGTACATGATTTCATTACACATTGACCGGTTTCATAATTGTATACATATTTACCCGAAGACCTGATTTAAGGAGTAGTTTTTAACCCAAACTTTATCACAGAATGTGAATAAAATGGTGACCATGTCATACTTACAAATAATGTAATGTATTGAGTTGTAATGTCTAATAGTAAGGTTAATAATAACTTTTATGTTACTCGGCATAGGTAGAATATTTTTAACCACGTGCATGGTTATCCCTCCTTCTTGGAAACCCTTGATAATATATTCATATGTATGCATGTATATGAGAGGTTAAAATTCTGGGCATTTTTTTTGTTAAATTTTCTGCCGCAATAACAACAAATTCAGAAAATACTTTCATGAAATGAAGCATCTCAAATTTTTATTTTATAAATGTTTGTAGAGAACACTATAACGTAGGACTCAATTACTCATCGCGAATATCTTCAAAATCACCCCATTTTAATCATTTCTCGGCTCTGGAATTGATTTTATTTGACATCAATTTGTCTCGTAGACAAAAGGGGTAGAAATTGTGAATACACTAAAATTTTGTAAAGTGTATAATTGTTTGAAAGTTTAGATTTAAAATTCTAGATAAAGGTGTTACAGATTGAATGAAATTTCGATTTGAAGCAATTTATTAATTTCTATTGCATGATTTTTGAAACATGAAAATTGAGTGCTGTTAAGTTTATCAAGATTGTACGCCATTTAGAAAATTCTAGAATAATGAAGCACCACAAGTATTTTTATAATTGAATTTGGCGAAGCTTATCTAGTCCAATAGTCCAATCTGAGTAAACTTTGCAAAATAAAGTTTAATTTACATTTTGGAAAATTTTGGTTCAATTCCCGTAATAAAAATTGAATAAAAAACTAATAATTCTTATTATTAATAATAATTCAGGTAGTAGGTACATAAAATATGTACCCTCTAAAAAATAATATAAAAAGATAAAAAGTAAATGCACACTTTTAATGCACAATTTTAAATTAAGTAAACTTTGCTCTTTATCGAATTAAAGTTACTCTTGATTTAATATAGTTTACTTAATATGTACATATATAACTGAAAGTGCATTTACTTATCACAAGTGACAAGAGTAACATTATGTTTAAGAGTGCAGCATATTTGAAAAATATTGTGTAGAAGTTTGATTTGACATATTTTGTTTATTTTCTGACAGAAATATATTTTTTTTCTAGTGATATTTTTAAAATTAAAAAAAAACCCACAGTTCTATAAGATTTACAAGCCACTGAACAATGTTCCCAGCACTCCAATAGAAATTTATCAGGACGTGTTATTACATCAACTCTTAGAAATTCAGTATTAATACCAAGTGCTATTCATAAATGTATGACTCTACCAAAGTGGTACTGGTAAGTTATACCGTGTAAAAATAGCTCGTATTAAAGTTTGCACCGTATCGGTAGAAAATTTTTAGGGATCGGCATACCAAGCGGTGTGAACCTTTATCCCAAGAAAACAGTATCTGCCTGACTATACCAAATTTCTAACAGTGTATCATGGCATCATTCTCATTTATGACAGCATTAATTGACATCTTGTCTGGTGTCCGGAATCCACGTTAATCATGTCAGCTAAATATGTACATATCAGTAAAAGTCTTAACTTATGATTTAACAAAATTAATAATTCTGCACAGCCAACCATGATACCTACATAAATACAAGTAGCCGTATTAATGTCGATACCAAACAAATAAAAATCATGTCCAAGTATTTGTCCAAAAACTTGACAATAAAATGCAGATACAGACCCGTATTTTATTTATTTCCTCTCTGCCTCACCCACAATTTGATCGTGCCCTTTGTTGACATTGATCTTGTCACTCTTTTTGACATTTATTGTTTAATTGATCCAACGTGATGTCACTGCGTCGTTTTTACAGTCGCACGTTCACTGCTATCGGTCAAGCTCATGTAAACTTGGATGTTTACTTGGGCATGGTTTCAGGCAATATTATGCCCGTACCGTGACTCGCATGACAAGTAGACAGATCTACACTCTTAGAAATCCAGTATTAAAATGATACCAAGCGGTGGTATATTATGGCTCTGCCAAATAAATAATACAGTGTAATAACAGCTCGGTATTAAAGTTTTGCCATATCAGTAGCAAATTTGTACGAACCGGTATAATTTTAATACCAAGCGGTAACAACTTTAACACCGAGAAGTTATTTAATACCTGGCGGATTATGCCAGATTTCTAACAGTGTATAAATCCGGTATTAAGTTAGTACCAAGCGGTATTCATATATTACTCAAAGTGGTATTTATAAGTAATACAGTGTAATATTATTACACGGTATTGCTTATCAATACCACCACTCGGTAGAAGAGTTTTACCACATCGGTAGCAAATTTTTATGGACCGGCATGCATAATTTTAATTCCAAGTGGTAGCAAGTTTAATACCGAGAAATCAATACCTCGCTGACTATACCAGATTTCTAAGAGTGTAATAGGAACGAAATACTTGAAAACATTCGTTTATCTTTTTAAATATAGGGTGGTGACAGACTCAAATTTTTGTCATGTTGGGTTTATTCTTTCATTGGGGTTAACACAATGTGAGCATGAAGTACATAAGTTTTGTAGAATTTCGTGCCAATTTAAATTTAGGATTAGAAATTTAAAGCCAAATAATGGGAACATTATTACCCACGTGGAGATGTGGATTCTCATTTCTAACCTTGATTTGGCTCAAGCTATTTGTTCAGGAAGTGGTATCCGTCTCAAATCCTGAATGGGTGCAGGATCGACAAAGTAAAGTGGTTAGCGTTTTTAACCCCGATTTATTTAAGAGTGATTATATTTGTTACCTAATTTTAGACCCTGCATTTTGCTATGATCCAAATTTATCGTGCGGTAGGAGATCATTTTAATTTTTTTATATATAAGATTGCATACAATGCGAATAATTAGGTGACAAATTGTCACCAACGGTGGTACAATAGTGCTCTATTTATTGGTACTGATTAAGGAGACGTTTTCTCACCAAAGGAAAATAAGTAAAAAAAAATCATGTGCTAAACAGATGCAATTAAAACAATTGAACATTTTTGATCTGAATAAGATTTCTTGAAAGTATTGAATTTTTTATAATTACATCTGGTTTGTACATAAGTTTTATTAGTGGCAAAAACGTTTCCTTAATAAATAGAGCACTCCGTTGGCGACAATTTGTCTCCAAACTATTTGGAATACATACAAAACTGATTTACGTGGTCTCATTATAATCTAAAGGTCCGCCATTTTGGCCAGGGACATGCACCTCGGGTGGGCGTCAGTCTCCCATAGATATTCAATCCAATAGCTACAAAATATTTAAGAAATTTAGCTACTTCACCCTTAATCCGGCCTACAGTGTCGCGCAACCCATATTTTTCGCCAGGAATACGGGACATTCTTGTAAGTGCGACAATTCTACTACTCATAATTCTAAATATTTCACTTTTAATTTGTAAATGCCCAGTTCAAATCCAATTCGACGGTGCGACGAGTCCCACTTCTGCCGGGTTACAGTTCACGGATGGGGGCAGTCCTACCAAGGGGAACACATTTCTTTTTAGCCAGCTACATTTCCACTGGGGGTCTGAACATACGTTGAACGGAGTTAGGTAAATGTCTCATCCATCTCCTAACCACTATTTGTTCACACTTTTCCATAATTATTTGCAGATATCCCCTCGAGATGCATATGGTGCATCACAACGCTAAATATGCGACCCTCATGGATGCAATGAGGGCAGTAAATGATCCCCAAGCTGTGGCTGTTTTGGCAGTATTATTTCAGGTAGGGCCGTATTCGAGTTTACATGGTCAGAAACACTTGCAAAAAAAATCGCAAAAATATTTGGCTTAAAAATGTGAACTTGTCTGGCAAAAACTTTCGAAATTTCCCAGGGGGAAAGTGCGTTTTTTGGGGAAGGCATTTGAAGTTTCCGGAAAACTTCGAAAATTACTAGGAATATTCAAACGTTCTTCGAAAACTTTCAAAAATTCCCAGGAATATTCGAAAATTCCAGGGGGAAATATGGGGGAAATAATTTTTGAAGCTTGACAGATTTTTCCAGACTATTGTGCATCTTCATTTAGTTCAAAATTTTGAAAATGCTGATGCTGCGATGCGACTTGAACATGCGAAACAGTAAATTAAACGAATACGTACATTACATCATTTAATTGCACAGGTTGGTTTTGCCAATCCAGCCATGACTCCGATCGTCGACGTTGTCCAGCTTTCTCTCCATGAAGACCCAGTGTTCACGTCGTACCAAAAAGTTATAAATGTTGAAAACCTCCTCCCACTTAAGCTTCATTATGTCCGCTATATGGGATCCCTGACGACCCCACCGTGCACGGAGAACGTCGTGTGGACAGTTTTTACTACTCCGGTCTCTATTTCATTACCTCAGGTGAGAAATAAAAGTGCAAAATAAAAGTCAAAGAATCCGTGTTTCGTTTTGGAATGGTCAAAATAACTGTCCAAAATAATTTTTGACGTTGGAAATATATCCACAATGTCCAAAAGCGTCCAACATTGGAAAATGGGGCAAAATGTTACAAGTTCTTTTTTTTGCAAATTCATGTAAGTACACATACGTCAACGGATTGTTCTAAGATTCACTATCTGATAGAGTCAGATACATATATACTCCGCACTGGTATTGATTTGGTAATAGCTTCCTACCGGACTGGTAGTAGTTTGTTTCCGAAAGGTAAATTTGATATTGTTAAATGAAAAATAAATTATTGCCGTTAAGTATTATTATATTTAACCCCGGTAGATTCATTACTATTTACTGGTAGTACTGATTTACTACCAGTTTTCTAATCGAATATTAAAAAATTTAAAAATCATTCCGCTACAAATGATGTGCACCTAAAAATAATTTTATTTCGTGTTATAAATATTCTTGAAAATTAATTCTTGACTTAAAAATTTGCCAAAACTCGTGCAATTTATTTGCAACAATAGTACAACAAAGAAAATACCCCGGAAGTAACGAATCTTTCTAACCGTACAACATTAATGTGTCGAAACAAGACGAAAATCAAATAGTTGTTTGTAAACTGTGTATAAAATTACGTATTTATTCCTATTTTGAGAGAAAGTTAGATTCACATGGAAGAGGAATTTCTTTTCTTATTACGTTACAAACTTCCGAGCGATTTACTTTGACATTTCATTTGATCGTAATAACTATGTATGTTCCAATCATTATGATAATCATCTAAAAATTAAATTTTAAAATGCAACTTTTCGTGAAACTTAATTTTTGACTTTCAAGTTTGCCAAAAAAATAACGGATTTTATTTGTATTGATTGGAAAATTTATTTGAATTTAAATTTATTTGATTTAACATTGCGAGCGGGCTGAAATTAAAATTAAATCCATCACACTTAAATATTTCCAAATCAATAAGATTACTGAACCGTGATACCCGTGTCTGCAGAGTCACATTTGTACTCCGGGCAGTAATAATTTATTACCATTTATAAGAGCATTGAAAACTTGTAACATTTTGCCTCATTTACTCTTTTGGACGTCCAAAATTCTATGTCTAACATTTGTCAAAAACTCAAGGTAAATTTTTCATGTGAAAAAATTTATTAAAAAACGAGAATAAGAACCTTAAGGCTGCCTGGGACGCAGGCACAAAAATAATTTCTTAATTTTTGGACAGAATGGAAAATGGATCGGTAAATATGTGGGGAATGCGGGTTTCTCCACAGAATTACGGATCCGTTTTCCATTCTCTCCCAAAATGAACCCTTAACATCATTTTCTAGAAATTCACTGTCCCAGGGACGGTTAAGTGGTATTTTGCAGTTTACTTGAATCCCATTCGGTGCACTTTGTAGTGAAATTCAAGTAATTTCAATGAAAGAGTAATTTAATACAAACAAAGAAAACCTGTCGTTTCGCTCGAAAAATCCGAGTACTAGCCCGTTTTGCCCGTTTACACCGAAACAGCAAAGCGAAACACTGCAAAAAATTGATCTCATGCTTTTGCTCTTCTTTTAGTTGATGTCCTTCCAACAAGTGTTGGATCCTGATGGTCTCCTTTACATGAATTTCCGGCCGACCCAACCCCTCAATGGGAGGAGCCTTACGTGGTTTAAAGTTCCCGGAATTAAGAGAATATTAACCGTGACGAAGCAAGGATTAGTACAAATCGGGGGAGGAGGCAGTATTTTCAGTCTTTTGAGCAATGCGCTGAAATATTTAGGAAATCAATTTTTTTGGAATTTGTCATTATTAGTTGGTCAATTTGGAAATGTTTTCAATTTATTATTTCCTTTATTTAATCCTTATTTCTTCGTAATATAAGGAACAATTTTTGTCAGATTTGCAAGTCATTAAATAATTTTGCGACTATTTTTATGTTTATAAAGAATAAGATTCCTGCCTTCTGTAGTACAACTTTTTTAAATCTTTTTAAAAATTTTATAACTAGCAAATATTAACCAATTTAGCAAACATTTATGCAAAATTTACATTTAGCAACAGAATTTGTTACTCGGTCCTGAATAAGTTGATCGTGTCTATTCTTAATTTTCAATGGCAAAATCTTACCACGCTTATAAAGCCCTCCTAAATATCGTAACTTATTTTACGACACGAAGAATACTATATAAGGTTACGACGGAATCATGAATACCCTCATTGAACTTCATTGCAATGAATAAATTACGGCTTTGATGATATCAAGAAAATATCTTTGTGTTCAAACCTGATTAGATAAGCAAACGTTTAATCCGCTTTTCGTGATCAAATTAAATATGACTCACAACGTATCCTGCTCAGTCAGAACCGGGTTATACGTACAGTAGTATTATTGTAGTATTAAAGTACGTTCGATTCTAAACGGCGTAATAAAACATACGTATCTAAGCTAACACCGTGGAAAAGCATATTATTTGAAATCGAAATGGCCCCAAAGACAAACAAAGGGTAAGTTCCCGAACATTGTTAACTACTGTTCATCCAATATTAATAGTCGCAATTTCTTGGAAAATTTTCTGAGAGGTTATTTGGTTGCTAATTGAAAAATAAATAATCTGCCAGGTAACCTGTCAGAATTTTTTGCGACTAATAATAATGGACGAACAGTAGTTATACTGTAAATATCTAATTTGGCAAAGATTATTTATTACCGAATTCGTAACGTATGTATATGACTGTTCAAAAACCATAATAATATGACTTACAATGGAGGTCTCACAACGTATGTTACAGATTTGGACGAAATTATTTAGTGTCAATCGATCACAAATAAAATTAGTATGAAATTTGCAAATGGAACTATCTGCCAATGCGCAGGTTTGGCGGAGATATTTGCATAAAAGGAGGAGAAAACGCACTAAAAGGCTGGCATATTTTTCATTTTCCAAATTTCCTGTGCATTTTTTCTGCTTTGAATGCAAATATCTCCGCCAAACCTGCGTATTGGCAGATAGTTCCATTTGCAAATTTCATACTAATTATATTTGTGATCGATTGACACTAATTTCGTTGGGAGACCTCCATTGTTAGTTAACTTTTGGTAAAGATCTGGTAATAAATTTTTACAAAGTCGGTAATAATCTTTATTATTTTAGTAATATTTGTAGTAAAAACGAATCTAGTGGTTTCAAATTATTACCACAGATCGTAAAATATATGACCAGAAAAATTATTTATAATGCACAATTATTGCATTATTCTTTTTCACCTATTAATACACAAAAGTTACTTCAATTAACTTTCACTGCGAAGTAGATTTAACTATTTTGACTGACCCAATATTTTACCAGGAACAAGAAGAAAGTTGCCAAACCCGTAATCAAGTGCGTGTCCCAAGCAGAATTGAAATTGAAGGCAAAATCTAAAAAGACGACTAGGGTCGGCGCCACGGTCAATATTAAACGCCGGGCCAGTGACTATCGAAGACAAGGCGATCTTACCAAATCGCATGTAATGTATCATGCTAAATCTTCAAATATCAAAAAAGCCGAAAACCTACTGCTTTCTGGCTGTAAGAAAAGGAAAGTTTGCAAGAAAAATAAACAAGCGAAGAGCAACGTAAGTCAAAAATCTGGTGATACTTACGTAATCCAAAGAAAATGAGAATTATAATTCTCATTTTTTACGTAAAAGCGTTACAAAATAATTTCCTGATGACATTGAAAAAGTGCATTTTTTTGTACATTTAAAATGGTCATTAATTAATGAAATAATAAATCAATTATTTGATTAATAATAATAAATCAATAATAAACCAATGTATCATGATAATGAGGAGGAAATTGTAGCTTTATTTTTCACCTAGCTATGTTGCTAATCGCTAAATTCATCTCACAATGGAGGTCTCCCAACGTATGCCCACAGATTTGGACCAAACTGGTGTCAATCCATCGCAAATATAATTAGTATGAAATTTTCAAATGGAACCATCTGCCAATGCGCAGGTTTTGCGGAGATATTTTCATAAAAGGATGAGAAAACGCACCCACCGGCTAGAGGTGAGTCGGGTCTAAGATTTTCAAAGCCCGACCCGCTTAAGCCCGACTCAAAAACCCTATTCAAAAGCCCGACCCGCCCAAGCCCTATTCAAAGCCCAACTCAAAAGCCCGGGCCCGCCCAAGTCCAGATTTCTAAAGCCCGAGCCCGCCCAAGCCCTATAGGGCTTGGCGTTGAGAAAGCCCGCCCAGGCCCGAGCCCATCGGGCTTTTAGCCCGGGCCCATAGGGCTTAATCGGGCTTTTTTGTTATAGCGTGACAAATTATTTATACAATTAAAAATTTATACAATTAAAAATAAAATTTGTAGAGCGTTCTAAATTACGCATGATGAAACACGAATTTATAAATAAAGAAGTTCAAATTATTTAACAAACACATTTTAAAGGTTTAGTATTCAACAAATTATTTTCACAGGGTACAAAAATAAATAAACCCAAAACTGTTAGTGTCAATGATGTTTAGTAAACAAATGAACTAATCTCAGGTTGGATAAACTACTGCCACTAATCCTAAGTTCAGTGCGACTGGCGGTCAACGTTAAACCGGTGCTTTAAAACACTCTCTCATCACTAGCTTGTGATGCGGGGATTGATAATATCCTTGGAATAATTTTCTGCATCAATGGAAATTGTGTGGCGCCACACCAAAATTTCAGGATATGCTGACCTCGCTTGATCCAATAGCCTCATCTTCTTTGAGTATGTATCCTCTTGCACAGTAAGCTTATTTTGTATTCTCCGTCCTTTCACACTTTAGATGTGCAACCCTGGTAGTAATTTGTTTCACACCAATAACAACAACCATTTCCATTTTGAAAATTTGTGATATTGGAATTACTTTTTAATGAGAATCCTATGAGAATACAATAATGAATTGGGAATTGCAAGTATAAAATACAAATGGTGCGCTTTTGGCCAAACTTTTGACTCTCATATTACTCCTAACTCCACGAAAAATATTAGTCGGGCTTTTGAGTATAGCCCGAGCCCGACTCAAGAAAAGCCCGCCCAGGCCCGACCCGACTCATGGGCTCAGCTCAAAAGCCCGGGCCCGCCCAAGCCCTACTCAAGTAAAGCCCGCCCAGGCCCGGCCCGACTCAAAGGCCAAACTCAAAAGCCCGGCCCGCCCAAAGCCCGTTGGGCCTGGGCGGGCTCGGGCTAGCCCGATTAAAGCCCAAGCCCGACTCACCTCTACCACCGGCCTGCAAATTTTACATTTTTCAATTTTGCTGCTCATTTTCCCCTCTTTGGATGCAAATATCTCCGCAAAACTTAAGCATTGGCAGATAGTTCCATTTGCAAATTTCATACTAATTATATTTGCGATCGATTGACACCAGTTTGGTCCAAATATGTGAGCATACATTGGGAGACCTCCATTGTCAGTCATTATTGAAAAATATTAGGTAAAAATATTCTGTAAAGAAAAAAATCAGTATCTGAGGATAGGTTGTCGTACTTCTTCCAAAAGACCGTATCCCAGTCGTGTGAGATCTGTGTATGTGTACAAAAATAAAGAGTAAAAAGATCTATGTGAAATAATCACTAATTAACTTATGCAAAGTAGTATCACTGCGATTCTGCATCAATAAATGTGAATATGTAAACATACATAGTTGCACAACGTCATTTTACTGTTTATTTTTGTGTACATAAGTCTTTGAATCATACCTTAATTGATAAACTTACTCAAGTCATGCAGATTATGCAATGCACAACAATCTTTATTAAGTCATACGTCAATTACTGATGTTTCACATTATTAAAGTGGATTAAAGCAGGTAAGTCGAATGTTTGTAAACTTTATAGAACTGTGCAAATTATTTGAATACATAATTTTACTAAAGTCGCACTCTTGGCGCAATGGCGAATCTGTTATTCCCGAATTTCTCGCCTTGATCCGCAGTATTTCTTAACCACGCCGAACTTTCTTTGGGGAACTAAATATATCCTTGAAACCAGTGTGTGCAGAACAAAAAGGCAGGCAGTGGCTTTTTGCCTGCCTCTTTGCCTTTTAGCCCCACAAAAATCTGTCCCTTTTTGCCTTTTGCTAGTTTGGGGCGCGATGGGACGAAACCCCCGTGATAAAATTAAAGTGAAACTTATTCATTGCATTCTTTATACTTTTCGCAATTATGAGCTTTAGAGTCAAAATTTGATTAATTAAGCTGATGGTGGTGTACAAACAACGCTGAAGACATCTAGGGAAAAGTATTCAACTAATTTGAAGTTTTAGTGAAAGTCAGAACCCTCCAACACCATTTTAAAAATTTGAGGAAGCTTCGTCGGAATATTAAAAACATTTTAAAAACTTATTGCAGATTCTGCAATTTCTTTAATACATTATAAACGACCATAAATCGGGTTCAATCGTCAAAAATCGAGCAAAAAGGAATCAAACAGGCAAAAAGGCATCAAATGGGTAAACAGGCACGCAAAAAGGCAAAAGGGCATTGAAAAAGGCAAAAAGGCAAAAAGGCATGCAGAAAAAGCAAAAGGGTTAGCACTGCACACACTGGTTATTGAACAAAACATAAAATTAAGAACATTATTATTTAAAATTATGTAGCATTTCGACTTTGAATTTGCACCCTTTTGTTTAATGTTGGAATTGAATATAATTTCTGCATGATTTTTGAGCAATTAAAAAAGTCGAAAATTGAGCAATTGGTAATTTTGTCGAGTCTGTACGCCATTAGAAAATACTGGTAAATTTTTATAGTTAAACGGGAAGTTAGGTGAATCATTTAGAGGAAGTTTGCATTGAGCCAAGGTTAGTGGAATATTTGCAATTTATAAAATTTTATAAAATTAAGCTAAGCCAGAATTACAAAATCTGTAATTTGGAACATGTAGGTTAAAGTTTAGTATGAAAATTATGACATTAAAATGACATTAATAACATAATAGTATGTGAGTGTAGCAGTTGTTTTTTATGTTCATTTCCGTGAACGGCGTGCAGCGGCGTACATTGTCTCCCTGACACCTTGAGGTCGACAACGGCAAAATGACATTAATAACATACGTATTTACAAAATATCGTTAATATATAACATTATTTAGCATTTCGAGCAATATTGTGAATTTTGACTTGGCATATTTTGTATAATTTTTGAAAGGAATATAATTTCCTTAATAAGGAAAAACAAAAAACATAATATGTTTTTTGAGCATACCTGTTCAAAAATTCAGTTTTCATTCAAAGTCAGTCATCCCGATTTCATATTGAAGATTTTCGTTCAAATCCATTTCATTTTATACTGCATCTGATTTCTTTTCTTACTCACCCCATGTATTATTTAAGCATAGGGTCAAAAATGAAGAGTGAAAAATCCTTTCATTCACAGTCATTCATCTGAAATGACGGAATCATTCGGTCATTTTTATTCAAATGACTGGAATTTCATTTTTATTCACTATCATAATCAGTCAAATGAATGAAAGTTAACAGGCGTGTTTTTGAGTATGACTTCAAAAATCCATAAGCGACTTTAATACTTTAATTAATAATAATAATAATAATTTTTAATTGAGTAATAAGGGTGCAAGTTAATGCACTCGAATGTGCGTAAACTTCATAAGAAAGTTGAAAATTAGTCATTTTCATTTTGTCAAGTTTATACGCCACTTATAAAATTCTAGTATTTTTTTCTTTATTTAAATAAAATACAGATATTTAGGGCACATAAGCTTGTAAGCGTATCACGATTATCGTAAGTAATATGTGCAAACTTTTTAAAATTATACTTTCCAAAGTGTGTAAATTTGGAAAAATTAGGTTTAAATTTTTTTTTTATAAAAAGTATGGAATAACAAAATAAATGTAATACCGTTATATGCAAAGTTATGTAGCATTCCGAGCAAAATGGCGCATTGTTAATCTTTTACAAAAACACGCTATCTTATGGTTTGTGAAATTTTTAAAATTCAAAAGCGTCAACTTTAAATTGACTTTGACAACTTTTGTTAGATTTGTAAGCCATTAAATATTTTCTGAAATACTTTTGCCGCAATAAAAATTCAGATTTTCTATTTTTCTCCTTATTTTAAGTTTAGACTGTGTTTAGTATAAACATATTTCAGCCAAGTCTTTGTAAACTTTATAAAACTGCACAATAATAATTTTACAAAATATCCCACTCTTGGCGCAATGGCGAATGTGAAATTCTCGAATTTGATCAATCCGAATACTAAATGTGTAGCTATTTATTTCGACGCTAAATCAGCGTTCAATAGTATTGACAGATCTTTATTAATTAAAAAGCTAATGTTTAAGTATAAGTTACACCCCATTTATATCAAAACAATACATAATTGTGTTAGCGATACATTATTTAGATTTAAAAATAGTGATAAATACTACATCAATTCTACTGGTATAATTCAGGGTGGTACGATCGGACCTGTTGTTTACGGAGCTTATCAGGACGATATCGCTGATATAATTACATTGCCGTTCCTATTATATGCCGATGATCTCGTTGTGTACACTGCAGGAACAGATTTGGACCTATTACTACAAACACTGAAAGACCAAGTAATTCGCATTCAACAATGGTATACTGACAATAATATGACACTAAATTACGACAAAACTAAATACCAAATTTTTCATAAAAGTAGAGACCCCATCCCGGACAAATTTATAAACTCGCCATTGGTGTTAGATAGCGGTCATGTTATCGAGCAAGTTTCTTGTTTTAAGTATCTTGGTGTGGAACTTGACTCGACACTGAGTTTCAAACAACACTTTGAATCAGTAAGTAAGCGTATTTACGTTAACTTAGGTTATTTATATGGGTTAAAGCGTTATTTAAGTGAAAATGTAATGACGGTTATGTTGAATAGTCATATATTTACATTCGATTGCAGATTTCTGCATTGACATATGGGCAACGCTAACAACTCCACAACTTGACACTATACAACGAAAAGTTGACAGTTACCTATTAAATTTCTATTTGCCTATTATTGAGAAAAAAGCACGTATCCGCAAATCTCGACACTACAAAGACCTCCGACACAAATTAAATATCGTTGATTTACGAGCAAAGTGCAATATGTTAACAGTTATAGAGAGGAGAGACCTTTTTTTACTTAAATATGCGTTTAAGAACCTGTCACATCTTAAATCTGTATCCTCAACTAGGCGTACTTTTCCTCTGTTAGTTGTTCCCAGAACTAAAACGACTTTCTCCCAGAAAAGCATAAACTATCGGTCTGTTAAGCTATGGAACTCGCTACCACGCGACTGGGAAGGTAACATAACTTATCCTAAATTTGTTCAGTTGAGTCGTGAATGGATAATTTCTAGACGTAATGAAGAATATATTTACTACTAATAATAGATAATATAGATACATGCTTATATAGAGAATTAGCTTTTAGTGTCACGGATTGTAAACCAGTTGATTTGTACGCCATTTAGAAATTCACTGTATATTTTTAGTATAAAAGCTTATAGGTCAGTCCCACAGAAGTCATGCATCCCTCTGTTTTGGTTTTTAAAGATGTTTACTTTAATATTTTTAATCTGGTAAACTGTATACAATTTAACTTTGCAAAGTTTGCACTTTTGCAAAGCAAAGTGCGTAATTTTCAGAAATTTAGGTTCACATTTGGTTTAAAAACTAGTACATTAATTGAATAAAAAATAAAATTAAGAACATTATTATATAAAATTATGTAGCGTGAAACCTCATCTCCCTTCACTGGGTGGCTCATTCCCAATGTCCCCCCTTACTTTACTACCCGATGACCCAGTCCTCGCTCGCCTTATGACCCTTGATGCTGATGATGATGCGATGGCGATGATAATGCGATGATGAAATGCTGGCGGCGGGTTAGGCCAGGCAATAAGAAATGTCTGGAGGAAGGAGAAGGTTGTTGCTGGTCCGAAGGTTACTTTATTACTGACTGTCATTTGGAAATGTACACGACTTTTATGTTACAAAGATGTCTACAAATTAACTCCGCCTTCACTTCCACATCACCTCTTCTTCCCCTTATTCTCATAGATGCACTGCTCAGTCCCGAGGGGGAGCGCACGAGCAGAGTATGGGTTGAGTGGTTACAAGCGTTTCGACGTATTAACTTCGACTTTGCACCCTTTTTTAATGTTCGACTTGAATATAATTCCTGCATGATTTTTGAGCAATTAAGAAAGTCGAAAATTTAGTAATGTTAATTTTGTCGAATATGTACGCCATTTTCGAAAATTCCGGCAAATTTTTATACTTAAACGGAAAGTCTACTAGATATGTCCCCTAGTATACTTGTGTTGAGCGAAGGTTAGTGGAATATTAGTAATTTATCAAATTTTATAAAATTAAGCTATTCAAAGTGTGTCATTTTTGAAAATTTGGTTTTAAATTTCGCATGAAAATTATGACATTAAAATGAAATTAATAACATATTTATATAACATTATTTAGCATTTTGAACAATATTGTGAATTTTGACTTGGCAAATTTTGTTTAATGTTTGAAAGGAATATAATTTCCGTATGTTTTTTTGAGTGACACTTCAAAAATTTCTGATTTGTAAGCCATTAAATAATTTTCCGAATATTTTTGTGTACAATAAGCAGTCAGATTAATAACTTCTCTCACAGATACTTTACTCTACAGGGTGCAAGTTAACGTACTCAAATGTTTGTACACTTGGTAAAAAAGTTTAAAATTAGTCATTTTAATTTTATCAAGTTTTCACGCCATTTATAAATTTCCAGTATATTTTTCTGTATTAAAGATACCTTAGGTAAGGTAAAAGCTTGGTACTTGTGCAAACTTTTTTTTAAATTAAACTTTCCAAAGTGTGTAAATTTGGAAAAATTAGGGTTAAATGTTTTTATAAAAATTATGGAATAACAAAATTACAGAGCGAAGGCGTCTCGCTATTTTGTAAAAAATACAAAATTTACACAGTTTTTCGAGTTACAAAGTTTGCAATGCAAACCCACGCGTGTTCTTTATCAATCTTAATTTCGACAAAAATTTGCCCAATCCGTTATAATAATTCCACCCAAAAAAGTTTTCACCAAATATAGAATCTAATAACTATTACATAGATTAACGGACATCGCAACATCTGGTAATATTTACTAGGGCAATCAAATTTTAAAAATTTATTTAATTCAACGTCAACCTTTATCAGCAACCAACTTCGAATACCTCCATAAAAAAATTATTTTTGTTATGGCAAATTAAATTTAAAACTTTGGCTTAATTTGATCTTCCAGAAATTTATTTTCGAAAATAATGCAGCTCACAGCATATCTAATTATCTGTAATCCAATCTGCGAAAAATTTTGACACATTGCAAAAACATGTGAAAAAAATGCATAGTCTGAAAATTAACTTCATGTACCAAACCACACAGTATGATTCATTTCCTCCATTTAATTTACTCGAGTTGACACCAAATATGTATGATAATTAGTGGTCCATCCAAAATAGCCAGTCGTCTATCACGACATGGATGACGGATAAAAATCGACTACATGTTTTCGCGAATAATTATTGTAATTCGCAAATTTTATGCAACTGAGGTGACCATGTGACTCACTAATCAAGTAGACTTACGTACACATACACTTATAGAAATCTGGTATAGTCAGGCAGGTATTGATCTCTCGGTATTAAAGTTGCTACCGGTTGGTATTAAAATTATACCGCTCCGTACAAAATGTGTTACCGATATGGTGAAACTTTAATACCGAGCTATTGCTACATGGTATTACTTATAAATACCACTTTGATAGAGTTATATATGAATTGAGTATTGCTTGGTATTATTTTAATACCGAATTTCTAAGAGTGTATACTAATTTTCTTTCCTTATTTATGCAAGGTTTCGGTCAGGAAGTGGTCGTCCTGTTGATAACGGAAAACATTAAATTATGTGATACATAAAAGCATTACTAATTTTCTTGAGATATTTAAATTGAAAGTCATTCAGAGAGGGTTTGGCTTAGTCTTAAAGAGAGACAAATTTGCATAACAGAACAACCATGTATTTCCACCTGGGCATAGTTCTCCTATTTCTAATTGAGAAGGTTTGTAAAAAAAATTACATAAAACTCGACGTTATAATAAACGACACGATAAGCTTTGCAAATTTCGCAAATCAATCGCTAAATTTTCTCATTTCGTAAAATTTTGATGACAAATTTTATTCCCAAATTCACACAGAAGTTTTTATTTTGCAAAAAATATTGTGCGTTCTACTGACGATTAGCCAATTTCACGAACAAATATATCTACACATTTAAAACTCACTAAATTTTGCCACTTCGTAAAACTTTTGTTGCAATTTTTGTTCCAAAATTCACCCAGAACTTCTGGGCCAGAAGTTTTTATTTTTCGAAATTATTATGTGACAAACTATTTCCACAATGCAAAACAATGCATGGTCGTTAGTATACGCTAACTAAATTTTTCATACATAAATTTGCAAAAAAATATTGATAATTTAATTATTTAAGGGCTTATCCTCCACATTAACACCTCAATCCGACTTTGACAAAAGCTATGTCGGTGTAGTTTACGAACCTTACACTAAAAATCATGACAATCGGCACGATTACACCCTTGACGAGGTGAAGGACATGTTGCTCGTGGTGTCGAAACGGTTTAAATGGATCTCCACCTACGGCATGGGAACGATCAGTAAGCAGATATTCGTGATATATTCATAGTTAAACCTGCGCCATTGTTATACATAACTGAACTCTGGCGTAAGTTGAGGTGGGAAATTAAGTAAATATCTTCATTACACTGTTAGGAAATCGTGTCAAAGTTTGGTCAATTTCGATAATTGAGAACATTTTGCAAACACTGCTAAAAAAGTTTTCACCTGAATTGAATACCATGAAACACCTTCTATGTAGATCTGAATATTACTTCAAAAATATTCGTTTCAAATGCTTTTTTCATATGGCGTGAAACTATGACGCAGCAAAATTTAAATTCAATTTTAAATGTAAACTGCAAACCGATGTATTTTTCGTTTTCTCAAATTTACCCAGAAATTGCCCAGAAATTGCCCAGAAATTCGACACGTGTTACTTCGTAAACTATCTGCTAAATTAGGTGTTATGCGAAATTAGACGACATTGACATCAGCACGCGCATAGTTTTTTTGTTCTCTTCTCTAGATATTAATTACGCAATTAGTTAATTAATCTCCTAATTAATTAATCAGTTAATCGATCAATTAATTAATTAATCAGTTAATCATTCAATCAATTAATTTATTAACTAATCAGTTAATTAATTACTCAGGTGCCACCAGCAAATGGAACGAAGGCCAAGCCGGCGGTTTCTCTGGCATGGCGGCGAGTCAAATCAACCAAGAAATGAATTCTCTCCAATTAGTCGTCAATCTCGGAACGTGGCTTATTTCCAATGACGCCGTTATGAAGCAGGAAATCGTCAACGCCTTCACCGTGGCGGGCTTGGCAAACTCGAATTTTCCCGGGACCGTTAACGGGGTCATCATCACGAGTCATCACACCTACACTGACGACCAGCTGAGAACCGTTGTTCACCTTTTGTCCCAGAATTTAGCCACGGCGCGAAATTTGAAGGTTCAATTAGGCCTACGAACAAGCAATTGTGACGCATTGACGAGAAATTCAGAACTCATAAGGCTTTTGGACTTTATCAATTGTCAAAAATTTCCAACGTCCCAAACTTCAAAGAGCAACGTTTCCGCCGAAGTTGGCCTGGTTGGCCGATATTTTCTCCAACTTCGGCAAGAATTCGGCACAATTAAGCCTAATTTGACCGTAATTGGGGAAACCGGATGGGCAAGTTTTGATAAGTCGGGTAGTCAAAGAGAGTACAATAGTTCGGTCAAATTTTGGCGGGAAATGGGGCAATGGGCGAAAATTAATAAGTTTCGGGTCGACATGTTCACTGCGTTTGATGAACCCTGGAAAATAGCGATCGGGACGCATGAGCCGCATTACGGATGGTGGGAAAGAGTCGGGAACGAGTCGAGTGGGAGTGACGCCTTCAGGGAAAAGTTGACATGTAAAATTTTCATGTATTTTCATGTATTTTCATATTTTCGGCACAATTTAGGATTTTAGCAATGTCTGATTTCAAATCATCTTTTCGCCATGCACTGCACTGCAAAAAAACTGCAGGAAATCCAAATAATAAGCGCCATCTAGCGGCTCGCCTGATTTACGACACGTAATTATACGGATTATCCGCCAGATGGCGCTGATTTCTTGCATTTCTTGACCTCTTGCAAAAAAAGTATGCCTAAAAACACAATTTCTTGCAGTTTTTTTCATGACTCAAACGCTTGATTTGAATCTGTTTTTTTTCGAATTGTCCAACATGAGTCGAATTCCAACATGAGTCCGAGTTTTCGGAGTAAAATTCCACTGAATTCGGAAAGCACATCACAAAATATTGTATTAACGAGTTATTATTTCTGGTGATTTAGATCTTGAACCTGAACCTGCAAAACCAAAGAGTCCGTGGTCCGTAGAGGTCATCGAAGGCAGAGTAATTAAAGATGATACTCCTCCTACAAGCAAAAATATCGCTTCCTCACCCACAATCCTATCGGAATTTGTCCGTTTCTTACTGATGATAACCTTGTATCAAAAATTCGTAACTTTGTAATCATATTTACAACGATCTGTATGCAACGCGTTAATAAATATTCATAAAATCTTATCGAACTAAATTCTGTGCTTAAAATGTATTGTAAGAAATTGATTAAAGTTGAAGCAGATGGATTCTTCAAAATGTGACAAGTTATAGAAAATATTCCCGTTTTTTAAAAAATTATTACCCGTCGGAAATTTAATTTCGTGGAAGTGTACCAATTTTTATTCAATTAACGGAATGCCAAAAATAAAATGATTTTATTATAGCTTATATGTATAAAATTTGCAATGATTTACAAAATTTTTAAACTTTTCATAATCTAACCAGTTTTAAATTGAAATGATATTTAAATCCACAAATTTTCATGGAATTAGTCTAAATTGGTTTCGAATTTTTTTAACAAAATGCTGAAAACCGTTTCATTTTATATTTTTGGACAATTCAGAAAGTTTTGAAAAAGAGTAGGGACAATTTGGATGTCATTTACAAAATTACAACATGTTTTAGTGCAATTAGAGGTGATTAGATTTGTAGCCCTCATGATATGTAAACAAAAAAAAACTACAAAAAAAACAACAAAATGGTTATAATTATAATAATATAATTATAATTATAAATACAATTACATAATCACAATAATTGTAATTAACGAAGTTATGAAAGTTTCCATTTTTCACTTTTCATATATTGAGGGATTTCACGTCAAGTTTATAACTCCGTAACTTCTTTAGGTTTAAAAGTTTACACGCTTTTGACGTGAGTTGACTTTGTAAAGATTTTCGGTAAAAACTGTCTCACAAGCGCAACCTTGATTTTCTAAAGTGTCCAATTTAAAAAAAAATTGATTTAAAATTGGTATACAAATTGTGAACTTGAAATTTAATGAAATGTGTATTTCGAGGAATACAATGAGTTTGCACTATTTTTATTAATTTTCGACATAAAGTTAAATTACAATGGAGGTCTCCCAAAGTATGCTCACAGATTTGGACCAAACTGGTGTCAATCGATCACAAATATAATTAGAATGAAATTTGCAAATGGAACTATCTGCCAATGCGCAGGTTTTGAGGAGATATTTGCATAAAAAGCGGGAGAAATGCGCAGCAAATTTGGAAAATGAAAAATTTGCCTCCCTTGGGGGTGCATTTTCTCCGCTTTGGATGCAAATATCTCCGCCAAACCTGCGCATTGGCAGATAGATCCATTTGCAAATTTCATTCTAATTATATTTGTGATCGATTGACACCAGTTTGGTCCAAATTTGTGAGCATACTTTGGGAAACCTCCATTGTTAGTTTTGCTGTTGATATGGGACAGACTCCTTCAAAAACTGACTCTTCCAACTAAATTTTCGCGACTTTTGACATCTTTTATATTAGAAATAAGGTATTACAGTGGGATTGAAATATTATTGCTTAAAAAATGTTTCGTTAGAACTGAGAATTCCAAATTGTTCAGTTGTGTGGGTAAATTTAACGCCAAAAGTTAACAGACGTTCAACTTTGACGGTTAGTTTGTCAAGTTTGTATGCCAGTCTTCGTCTGATCGAAGTTTAGTCGAGTTAGTTTTAATTTGTTAGATTTTATAAAATCACAATTGAAAGTGTGTAATTTTGTAAAACTTAGGTTCAAAATTAATTTAATCACACGTTTTTATATAACATTATGTTTAGCATTTCGAGCAATATTTAGTGGTCTCAACGGTTCTCGGTTCTCATAGAACCGAACCGGAACCTATGGCTCGGTTCGGTTCCGGTTTATACGGAGAACCGAACCGAACCGAAACTTTTATTACCGGTTCGGTTCCGGTTCCAAGTCTTTGAGAACCGAACCGAACCGGCCGGTTCGGGTTGAACCGAACTTCATACATAAATACATTAGCGAAGTTAATCATATTTTCGAAAAAGTTTTACGAATTTCCCGAAATACACATAGTTTCCAAAATGAAATTTTGACGTGGCCGCACTGCCAAAGTTCCCAAAATGAAACTTTGACATGGCCACACCCCCAAAGTTCCCGAAATGAAACTTTGACTTGGTCACACCCCCAATGTTTCCAAAACCAAATTTTGACTTGATGACACGCCCAAAGTTCCCAAAATGAAACTTTTATTTGGTCACACCCCCAATGTTTCCAAAACGAAATTTTGACCTGGTTACATCCCCAATGTTTCCAAAACCAAATTTTGACTTGATGACACCTCCAAAGTTTCCAAAATGAAATTTTCATCCCCAAAGTTTCCTAAACGAAATTTTTACCCCCAAAAGTTTCTAAAATGAAATCTTTACTTGGTCACACCCCAAAGTTTCCAAAATGAAATTTTGACTTGGTTACACCCCCAATGTTTCCAAAATGAAATTTTTACTTGGTCACACCCCAAATGTTTCCAAAATGAAATTTTTACTTGGTCACACCCCAAATGTTTCCAAAATGAAATGTTGACTTGGTTACACCCCCAATGTTTCCAAAATGAAATTTTTACTTGGTCACACCCCCAATGTTTCCAAAATGAAATTTTGACTTGGTTGCACCCCAAACTTGGAATTGTTTTCTAACTTCAATAATATATATATACATAAGTGGTTTTGCTGTTGACATGTATTAGAATTTGCTTGTTTAAATACAGATAAGTTATTGGCTTATATGTGAAATTTCATCAGAAACACGTCAATTAGCATTGTTTGTTGTTTATTGCATATTAATAACACTACCGGTTTGACCCGAACCGCCGGTTCGGTCACGGTTTGGTCCGGTTCCGGTTCGGTTCCAACTAAAAAAAGTTCGGTTCTGTTTCGGTTCTTCAATTCTGGTTCTCGGTTCTAAACCGGTTCTTCCAAGAACCGAACCGAACCGCACCGTTGAGACCACTAGCAATATTGTGAATTTTGAGTTGGCATATTTTGTATAACTTTTGAAAGAAATAATATAATTTCTGTGGTTGTTGAGTAACATTTTCAAGATTCAACCAGTGAGTTTATAAATATTCAACAGAAATCTATGTAAACTTGCATATTTACAAAGGAAATTCACGCAGTCCTACGGAAAATTAGCTTACAAAATTTTTGTAGAGTTTGCTTGCATGATGATTAGTCGTCTCAACAGTCCCGTTCTTGGTAAGGAACCGAGAACCGAACCGGAACCGATTCGAACCGCCGGTTCGGGCCCAACCAGTAGTTTATGATAAGATGGAGTAGCTACCTTTAAAACAATGCTAACTGAGGTATTTTTACTGAAATAATGTTTATCTCATGTAGACGTTTATGAACAAATCTGCAAATTGAGTGAATTGAGTTCGGTCCGCCCGGACTTAGAACGTAGAATCGGAACCGAGAAAAGTTTCGGTTCGGTTCGGTTCTCCTTACAACCCGGTCCGGTTCGGTTCGGTTCTCCTTACAACCCGGTCCGGTTCGGTTCCGTAAGAACCGAGAACCATTGAGACCACTAATGATGATGCTTGCAGTAACTTCTATATTGTTAATATCAAAATTTTGTTGCATAATAATGACGCCAATTACAAAAAGTTATGTATTTTAGTATTTACAATAAATTGCTGATTTTGCGAGCCCGGCGAAGCCGGGTGAAGCAAAATCTAGATTTTGTGAGTCTTCCGAGTACGAAAGACATCACGGAGTATAGTTGGTAGTGGTCGACCTCCAGGTATCAGGGAGACACTACGCGCCGCCTAGTTCACAGAAATGCACTTAAAAAACAACTACCACACTCACATGCTCACACCACACCAGTCACAATGCATAGTTTTAAAGAGCGAATCGACTTTATGAATATTGTGGGGGTGGGATGGAGGGCCGTGATGTCTTTCGTACTCGGAAGACTCACAAAATCTAGATTTTGCTTCACCCGGCTTCGCCGGGCTCGCAAAATCAGCAATTTTGCTTCGTATTCCTCATACTCCGACATCACGGAGTATAGTTGGTAGTAGTTCAAAGCAAAGTCGATGAGCACAGGTCACGGATTATTTTACACGTTATTTATTATTATAAATTCATACTTTGCTTATTACATACACACCGTACAAGATTCTTAAATATTCAAATTGACATAACTATTTTACCAAATTCAGAGGGATCCTCAAATGGACGATTATAGTACAATGAAAATTATTTGGAGTTATCTGTCCAACCAACCCTTTTAAAAATAGTATCTACACTGACCCCTTTAGCTGCCGCTTTAGAAACGGAAGCGTGCCTAAAACTGTGAGCATGAAAGGTATGGACATTAATTCCAGATTTCTCCAAAACTTCACACAACCAGCGACTGACAGACTGTGATGTCACAGCTTTATGAGGCTTACAAAAGCTTATAAATAATTGTAACTCATTACCTCGAAGACTTTTAGTCATATCCCTATACATTTTGAGAATAGTTACAGGACACAAACTTTTATCATGGTAGGGTGGTACAAATAATACTGGGTTAGATGTATTAACAATTGTTGTCTTTAAAATACTACTCAGTCTAATTTGAATTGTCTCCTCCCAAACAATATCGTTTAACTTAATGGAACAAAGGGTCTGGACACGTTGACCAGTGCATAATGCTAACAAGGCAATAGATTTAAGAGTAACTATTTTAAGACTAAATTCTGTCCATCCCTTGAGAAATTTAAGTACAAGATCAGGGTTCCATGTAAAATCATACCTAGGTCTTGGTGGCCTCAATCGATTCACTCCTTTCATAAAATCGACGATCAATTTATGCTCACCAATTGCACAATTATCAATTTTTCCAAAAACAGACGACAGTGCTGATCTAGTAGAATTAAGAACAGAATAACTCAAGCCATCGTAATATAATTTACTTAAGAATATCAAATAATGACTAATATTAACTTCCCACACCGACCAATCCTTTGATTTACAAAACGAAGCCCATTTTGATAACGCCGACTCATATTGTCTCCAAGTTCCGTCTGATTTTGATGACTTAATTATTTCTAAAACTTCCACAGGAAGATCCAAGTTTTTCATGACCTGCCTGACAATACTGCTACCAGCACCGCTAGCTTCGAATTGACTTGTTTCTCCTCCCTGCAAGAAGGATTAAATAATAAATTCTTGTTCGGACTCATTCTTAAAATTGGTGTCACAGCAAAACGCTTAAATAGTGGGTACCACGGCTGAGTTTTCCAGTCAGGTACCACCAAAATCCCTTTGCATTTATCTCGACGTATTTTATTAATAACTCTTGCAACAAGATTAAACGGTGGAAATGCGAAAAAGTTGTCTGTCCACCTAAATGCAAATGCGTCTACCCCTTCACCCGAAGGATCAGGTTTAAATGAATAAAATCTGCTGCATTGAGTTGTATTATGAGATGCGAACAAGTCTATCTCTGGCATACCAAATGTCTCTGGCATTCTGGATAATTTATCGGCTATGAAATTATCTTTTGTATTAATGTAATTCGCAGACAAAATTATTTCCCTTGATTCGGCCCATTGCCAAAGCTTCTTCGCCACATCATGTGCACCCGTTGACCTACATCCTCCAAACTTGTTAACGTAGGCTAAAGCAGTGGAACTATCTGTACGAATAAGGAGATGAATTTTCTCTGAATGAACCAATGACTTTACACCATAAAAAATCGCCCAGAGTTCCTTAACATTTATATGAAAGTCCCGAGAAGCTCCAGACCAAAATCCATAAGTCTTAATATCGCTTGCTTCAATCCATGCCCCCCATCCGGTGGGCGACGCATCTGTGGTTATAATACAGTCTGGATCTGGTTGGTGTAAGCAACTAAATGAACCTGGAATATTAGAGATCCACCAATTTAAGTCTAAAATTGCGTCTTCGGATAGAATGAGCGTTTCATTCCAATTTCCAGATTTCTCTAAGGCAGCAGCCTTTTCTTGCTCCAATTGTTTAGTGTACAGCAGCCCATATTTAGTAGCAGGGACTGCGGAGATTAATGTGCCAATTAATTCTGCTAATTTCCTAACGCTCATATGAGGTCTCAAAACTGCCTCAGAACACTTTCTAACGACTCTGTCGCACTTATCCTGTGGTAAATACAGCCGCATGTTTGCAGAATTAATTATAAATCCTAAATATCTTACCGTTTGAGATGGAATGAGTTGCGATTTCTCCTTATTTATCCTAAATCCTAAACTCTTTAACAACCGTAGTGACTTTTGTAAATTACTCTCACATTCCTCAAACGAATTACCATAAACTAACAAGTCATCGAGGTACGACACTACAATTATTCCTCGAGATCGAAGATATGCCACAATTGGTTTGTTCAGTTTTGTGTATAAACGTGGCGCTACTGATAATCCGAATGGAACAACCGTATACATGTATAGCTGACCTTTCCATCTAAATTTCAGAAATTTTTGATGCGCTCCATAAATTGGAATCGAATGATAAGCGTCCTGACAGTCAATCACGGCCATGTAAACACCCTTTGAAGTCAATTGCGCTGCTGTCCTAATATTTTCCATCTTAAAGTGAACAGATTCTAAATACTCATTCAACTTCCGCAAATTAATAATCGGCCTCCTCGAGCCATCAGGTTTAGGCACCGTAAAAATTGTTGATACGAATTGACCTGCCTCAGATTCTGATTTTACTATTGCCCCTGTGCTCAACAGCTTACTAATACTATCATCAATCATAATATTCTCATTTTCACTAAATTTAGAATTATTTGGTTCTAATATTTGGTTTGGAACCTGAACAAATGGTAATATAAATCCCTGAATAGCACTAATTACATATTTATCATTAGTAATTTTTAACCAATTGTCTAAATGTAATAATAATTGCCCAGATTGTTTACGCACATTTAATATCTCTTGTAATTGTTCTGCTGGTTTTTGAAGTGGTTGTAGTGCTGCGTCTGTTGTGAGAATTGGCGTTGCGGAGCACTGGGTCGAAATTGCCCGTTCCCTCGAAACTGTGGACGGAACGGGCGACTCCCGTTTTAAGAACCGGTGGATGACCTCGGTCGCATTCCATAAGGTTGAAAACGATTAATCTGGCGTCCTGTTTGCCTAATCAATGTTGATGCAGCTTTTGAAGATTTCAATGACTCGGCGAGCTCATTACCAAATAGCCACTCAGCATGAGGGATCTAATTTTTCACAAATCTTGCATATTAAAAGTCACCAAATTATCATTAGCAATTATTAAATATGTAGCAAAACAATGATATTCGTACCTCGCTTGTACAGATACCCGCATATTCAGGATTTAAATGTTTTTTAACCTCTTGCCTCCGGCTTGAATTTAGGGACTGAATCTGATCTCCCAAAATGTTCCCTGCATCTAAGGCCAGTTTTACTATGCTGCTGGTCGCCTCCTTTGGGATGACCGTCTTATGTGCCACGACCGTGCTGGCAATCATTGATAACGCTGATAAGGCTTCTCCTAAGGCCCGCTGCGTTTGTTGGCTTTTAATGTCAACGACCCGAGCATTTGAGGGTAATATCTTCCAAATTTCGGAATTGGTTTTGGGTAGAACAAACTGCTTCAAGTTACTTGGTATTTTTAGAGCGAGTTTTAGTTTTTCTTTTGACTCCTTCGTCAAAGGACGTTCCACGGTTTTTCGAAAACTTTCAGCAATTTGGGGAAGTACTTCTGCACCATAATCTGGACCCTTTTCGATGTCCTCCAATAAGATGGCAATCTCATTATCCACCTCGTCATGCTGCTCTTTACCACCTCCGTTAATCATTTTCTCAACATCATCCTCTTCATCCTCAGATAACCCTAAGGACCATGACGGCTTGACTGCTTGATTCATATCTGCCGGTCCCCCAGCGACAGTTCTCTGCAAATTTTCAATTGCTTGCTGTTGCTCACTAAGTTTTGCTAATAGATCAGCCAAATTTGTCTCCTCTTTGTCAGCCATCTAAATAATTATTTTTCTATATTAGTTTCTAGCAAATGTGGGCCCCTCATTAGTTGACGACATGTCCCAGAATATCGAATAACAGCAACTTTTAGAAATTTTTTAAAAAATTTCAAGTCGACGAAAAATGATGTGTCTCCCCGAATGCCTAAAAATCAACTATGCATTGTGACTGGTGTGGTGTGAGCATGTGAGTGTGGTAGTTGTTTTTTAAGTGCATTTCTGTGAACTAGGCGGCGCGTAGTGTCTCCCTGATACCTGGAGGTCGACCACTACCAACTATACTCCGTGATGTCGGAGTATGAGGAATACGAAGCAAAATCAAAGATACAACGAACATCGTGTCTTGTGTCAATGAGATTTTTGTATTTTTTCTTGAACATTGCTTGAATTGAAATATTTTTTTCAGTAAAGTCAGCATATTTGTAACGTACACTCATAAAATTTTCGCAATTTTTTTGGTAAATGGTGGCACGAATCAGATTTTGTTTTTTTAAATAGCGCACATTAAACGAATTGAGGGTCATATGTAACTCGGTATGAAATAATAATTGAGATTTATGCATGTGCACTACGAAATACATCAACTGCATTTTTACAGGTACTAATTTACTTCGAGTTTATAGTTACACGCCACTTGCTCAGATCAAGGGTGTCCCTTTATTTTGTAAAAGTTGGTAAAATGATTTTACAAAACTTACTGATTTTACAAAGTTACCAAGGACTGCGTGAATTGCGTCGTGTGAAATCAATTTAGAAATTTTAAGATAGATATCTCAAAATTTCTATTGGGAAACTATTTACATTATAAAACGCTTCACACGAGGCAATTCACGCAGTCCTTGGTAAAACTCTGTAAAATCAGTAAGTTTTGTAAAATAATTTTACGAACTTTTACAAAATGAAGAGACGCCCTTGATCTGAACAAGTTTACAAAATTATTGTAAGCTATATAATTTCCCCTAGAATTATACGACTGCGTGAAACGCCCCTTTGTAACCTAAGTTTGTAGTGATTAACACATTTCAGCCAGATATTTGTAAACTTTATCAAACTGCACAAATTATTTTGCTAATTTTATATAAATATAGCTTCTATACGATATAATTTTTTTTATTGTATAACAATTATGGCAGACAGATTGAATGTAATTTATAAGTGAATTTTCCTTCGAAATATTTGTAAAAGTTTGTAAAAGTTTGCAAGTTTACATAATTTACGGATTTATGCAATTGCCTTAGTATTGTAAGATTTGAAAGCATATCTATGTAGATACTCCACATTGTAAATAAATATATTAAAGTTCGCAGAATTTGGGTTTGTAAACAGTGTAAATTTTGTAGAAATATTTTTTTTAGCATGAAGACAAAGTAACCTTGTGAATATCAAAATTTAGGAATTTACAAAGATCCAACTTAATTAAAATTTTTCTTTTTGTAAAAATAGCTAAAATATTCTTTAGTCTCTAATGAGTAATGAAACATTATCGGTTCAACCCATTGAATCTACCCTGTAATTAGAATATTTAACTTGGTTAAAATATTTCATACGGCGTACTATCCTTATTTTCAAATTTAGATAATACCAATTTATTAATTCCGATTGTGTTGAGGGGAATTTGTAAACTCGTAAAATTCGAATTCTTCATAAAATTTCTGACGTGATTTTCCTTCATAATCTTTTATTGCAAACAGTTTGAATGAGTGGTCTTAAATTTGCAGAGTTTCAAAAATCTGATTTAATTAAATCTTACTTTGTGCACATTTTTTCCTTGAATTAAATAATTAAAGTACCTTAAATTAAGGAACTAAGCAAATGAAAATACCCATCAGCAATTGGACCGATTAAGAACCGGAAACCAAAAACCAATTTTAATTTTTTAACAATTAAAAAAAATTTGAAAAAGAGTAGTGACAATTTTGACCAGTTTGCATGCCATCTATAAAATTACAATGTTTTTAGTGTTATTAATGGTAAGCAGGTTTGTGGTCTATCTGCCACGTATTATAAATAATCAATAACAATTATGTAGGAATATTTCTTTTTTTACTAAAAATAAGATAAATATGTCAATTTTAAACATTTAGGAATTTACAAAGACCCGATTTGTAAAGATCTGATTTAATTTAGACAACTTTTCTTTTTAAATCTATTAACGATTGCGTAATAATGCACAAAGTAAAACTCGAAACTTTAAATTTCTATTTCATTTTTTTAAGTAAATACAATATTATTTAATCTCTAATTAAACATTAATGACTCCACCATTCGTAAATTATATAATTAAGATATTTAAAATCGCTAAAATATTTTATACAGCGTAATGCCCTCACTTTTTAATTTCATTTATCACAATTAATTACCCCCAGTGTTAATTCCGCTCGTGTCGAGTTGAATTTGTAAACTCGTAAAATTCGAATTTTTCATAAACTTTCTGTCTTGAGTTTCCTTCATTATATAATCTTTAATTGCAAACTTTTTGAATAAGTCAGCTTACAAGTTACTTCACCCTAATTATGGAAAGTGTCTAATTTGGGGAAATTTAGAATTAAGATTGGCATAAGAAAAGTATGACAGATTCAGAAAAATTTTCATTTCGGGGAAGGTTTTTATTCTTTTGCACGATTTTCGTTAATGTTCGAACTACACATAATTTCTATTATTTTTGAGCCATTAATAAAGTCGTAATATTGTCAGGTTATACGCCATTTACAACGTTCTGGTATATTTTTGGTAGCAAAAAGAAAAGTTAGGTGAAAAATTAGTAGGGGGAGATCTGTGCCTAATTTTTGGAAAATTTGGTTTGGAATTTGAATAATAAAAAGTATCACAGATTCAGATTGAATGGAATTTGCATTTTGAGCAATTTACTAATTTCGAGGTTGCACCAGTTTCATTAATGTTTCGACCTAAGTATAATTTCTGTTGATTTTTTAGGAATTGTGAAAATCGAAAATTGAGTCATGCTACTTTTGTCAACTTTGTACGTCATTTATAAAAATTCCAGCATGCTTTATAGAAAAATGAAAAGCTAGGTTGGTCTCTCAGTAGGCTGATGTTGAGCGTAATTTCGTCAAACATTTGTAATCTGCTAATTTTTACAAAATTAAACTTTACAAATTATGTAATTAAAAAAAATTCGTATAAAACTAAGACATTAAAATAAAATTAATACCATATAATTATTTAAAATTGTGTAGTATTTCGAGCAATATTGGGAAATTTGAGGTGGCATATTTTGTATAATTTTTGAAAGAAATATCGTTTCTGTGTGGTTGTTAAGATTTTCAATATTCAAAGGTGACAATTTTGTCAGATTTGTAAGCCATTAAAAAATTTTGAGTTAGTAGATTTCGTTCAATTAATGGCAGAAATATAATTTTTGTGTGCTTTTTGACAGAGATTTTAAACATTCAAACGATTTTACAAGCCATTAAATAAGTTTCCGACTATTTTTATCTAATTTTTTGGGAATATTTGGATCTAAATTTGTATACAAAATATGAATTTGAGATTGAATGAAATTTACATTACGAAGAATACAATGAATTTTGGATTTACATCATTTTCATTAATTTTCGACCTGAATATAAACGAATTTAGTCGCATATTTGTAATCTGCTAAATTTGATAAAATTAAGCTTTGCAATTTTGAAAATTTAGGGTAAAATTTCGTAGGAAAATTATGACATTAAAATAAATTTAACAACATAATTCTATAAAATATGCAGCATTTCGAGCAATATTGACTTGCATATTCTATTGAATTTTTGACAGAAATATAATTTCAGCTTGGTTTTTGAGCAAGATTTTAAAAATTCAAAATTTGGTAATTTTGGTAAGTTTATCCGGCATTTACTAAATATCAAAATATATTTTTGTGCGTACAACGAAAAGATAAGTAAGCACCTTACTCCGTTTTTGATTAGCGAAATTTAATTTAGTTTAGCGAATATTTCTAATATGTACAAACTTAATAAAATTTGACTTTGCAACGTATTTAATTTTGGAAAATTTAGGTTCAAATTTCGCATAAAAGTTATGACACTATTGAACAACAAAATGAAATTATTAGCACATAAGTATACAAAATTTTGTAGCATTTCGAGCAATACTATGAATTTCGAGTTGTCAATTTAAAAAAAAAAAATTTGTGACAGAAATATAATTCTTGTATAGTTTTTGAATGATATTTTAAAAATTCTTAAACTACAAATATTGGACTTGTAAGCCATTAACTAATTTTCCGAATGTTTTTTTGACATTAAAGAGTCAGATTTTCCTTCTTGTCCATTCAAATTACAAGAGTGCTGAACATTTGCATTTCAGAGGAATATTTGTAAACTTTATAAAACTACAGAAATCATCTTACAAATTTTAACACTTATCTGTATAAAACAAACGTTTTTAAACTTTATAAAAGTACAAATTATTTCGCAAACTTTTAGAAAATATGTGCCAGCTAACAATTTATGCAAAAATTTGCAAAATATTTGCATACCGATCCATCCCCCGTAATATTTTGTACAATTGTGAAATTTGAGAAGTTTAAATGTATATAACCTTAAATTTCGATAAGTTTACACCTAATTACAAAGTTAACTGTTGATGCAATTATTGTACATAATTAATAGATAAGCGCTTAAACTAAAGTTAACTGCCATTTTGTCCAGAATTGTGTCAATCCGAGAGATAGATTTGAATCGTTGGATGCCACTTTTGCACTCCGCGTCCATCTCGCGCATCACGGATGCGATTATGGTCAAATTGTTTGAAACTCACTCTACCCACCTGCTCCGGTAGGTTCATAAAAAATACACTTGTTATAACTTGCATATTATGCAAATATGGTGTAAATTATGTTTAGAAAAATACGGCAAAAATTTAAGACATCAAAAAAAATTACTGCACTACAGATTCTTATTTGGTGTACTTAAGTTTTATATAGTTTCTAATTTTTGGAAAATTTCGATTTAAAATCGTTACAAAAGTTATGACAG